TCTTATCCACACACTGAAAAGAGCAATACAGTTAGCAGGCAGGTTTGCTGTAGCTTTTACTTTGATAACAATTTGCCTGAAGTTGCTTTAAATCAAGTCTTGCTCAAATCTAGCTAGCAAAAATCAATTTTCATCTGTCAATTTTAAGTTTTTTAGATAAAACATTTAATTTAGAAAGTACTTTCAGTTTTTCTTTTCTCAACCACAAATACATTTAAACCCTTACTTTATAAATCTCTTCATAGGTTTCCTCATCAATCTCTATCGTTGTCACAGTCTCTTCAACATCACCCAAAATCATATTTAAGTGCTGATCATAAGCCTGTGCGAATGAGACCAGTTTCAATTATTTTCTTTATAATCTGTACCACATACAACAAAAAAGTGTTTAAATCTTTGTAGATCAAAGCAGTTCAAATACAAACTAACTAAAATGAACATAACTTTTCTTAGTGTATTTCAACTTGGACTCATGAATAATCAATTGCTTTGACTGTCAAATATACCAGTATTTTAACTGGAGTGTTAATTTCACCTGCACTAGTGAACACAGTACAACTGTTTTCTTTTTACAAATTAATTTTCTTTCAAATAGTTGTTTCAGCTGTCACATACTTTTACCAAATTATAGTTGCACAGGTTTAAGATTACTAAAGTTATATAGGTAGGGCCCTACCAAATTCAGGTTCCATTCTGGTGAATTTCATGGTAATATGATTTTTAAAATCATAAATTTATTGGTTTTAGATATTTAAAACTGAAATTTCAGGGTGTTGTAACCGTAGGGGTCTCAACCCAAAATGGGGTTGTGGGGGTGGGGTTGCAAGGCTATTATAGGAGGTTGTGGTATTGCCACCCTTACTTCTGTGCTTTGAAGATTTGAAGCTTTCAAGATGTCATAAAAGAACCTAGGCAAAGGCCTTAAAGTTGCTCTCTTAATTTAGTCGTGTATGAACAGTAAAAATCCACACAATCATCTCCACTAGGGGTGTGAATACAGTTTAAAAAGTTAACCATTTACATGATTTAAAAATGTCATTTAAACGGTTAACCGTTTAAAGCAGTTGGGGCCCATATGGCCAACATGGCTCAGGCTGCTGCGGGCAGCACAGCTAGCCCCGCTTAGCCCAGCTGAGGTTAGCGGTTAACTGGTAAGACTACGCTTACCGGTTAACCTTTTACATCCCTAATCTCCAGTATGCCCACTGAAACTGGATCTACCTGGGGCCAACCCAGCATAGCGCTCAGAAGGCCTAATCAGAGATGACCATTCTCAACACATTACACCAACATGCCATAAACCACACTGGTGCTGAAGCCATTTCAAGGATAGCCCATTTGGGACTTTGAAGGTGAGGACTATACCACATTGCAGCGTTCAGGAGGGATGCTTTGACTGACAAAAAGCCAGATATCAACTTGTGAGAGTAAGGGACATGTCATTATCACTGAAAGTTGCTTGAATACAGACTAGACTTCTGTAGGATATCAGCCTGAGCCCAAATACCATTATTTTTAGAGAATGTTTCAATACCTACTTTTTATAAAGCTCTTTTCATCGGTAGATTTCAAAGTGCTTTATAAAAAGGTTGGTATCATTATCCCTATTTTACAGATGGGAAACTGCAGTATATAGAGCTGAAGTGACTTGCCCAAGGTCACTCAGGAGGTCAGTGGCAGAGGCAAGAAACAAACCCAAGTGTGCTGAGTTCCAGTCCTGAGTTCTATCCACTAAGCGACACTGCTCTAAAGTAGTTTAAACTAGATTTTTCCTAAACCATCATGTTGTAAAGACAACTGGTAATGGCAGAAAAGAAAATCCAGCACCTTGTCATTCTAAGAACAGAATAAAAGACAAGGATTTATACCTTTTACAGGTACCCATACTCAGATACCAAGAAATGCTCAGAAAATGTGTCAGGCACAAAAAAAAACTTCTACACACTTTAAATAGATCGTAAAAATGAACTTGAATGGAATGCCACAAAGCAACCAACCTTTATGAGTATAAGTTACCTTGACTTTTATATCTACTGTTTCACAGTTAAAAGTACACCAGTGTTAAATCTTTCCAGTGTTTCACTTACATGTAATCTACCTCGAAGTTCTCGGTCATTCCTCATTTTCACATAGATTCGTTCATCTAGACTGAGTCTGATCAGATCCAGTGGCTCCTCTACAGTATTTGTTGTTTGTTGCTAAAAAAACAGAAAGCAGTTTTCACAATAACTTATGTTCAAAAGCAGTGTCTCTCTCTCTCTCTCTCAGAGATAGGATAAAGTACCCTTCACCTTCATCTCAGTCATTTGATCCAACCCAAGCTGGTAACGATCAAAAATCATTACCATAAGATGAGCATTTGGTGGCCGGTATGAAGTGACACGAATTTCAGTCCACTTCCTAGTGGACAGGCACTACCACCACAATTGGTACCGTTTACTGGCAGCCTTAGTGACAGGCCAGAAACCTGAACAGAAAGGGAACCAAATATGCCTTTCACCCTCAAAGTTGAGCTTGCACAGTCAGGTCTGAGATACCTTGGCAGGGGATGTAGAGAAGCTTACACTGTCACTGACTATGCTGTTCTCATTGGTGGATAATTATTATTTGTATTATTGTAGCACATAGCAGCTCTAGTCATGAACCAGGACCCCTCTGTCCTAAGCATTGTGCAAACAGAACAAAATGGTGGTCCTTGCCCCAAAGAGATAATGCATTGGGGTCTCCGGGGTAAGTGTCCTGTATTTTATATTCCTTCACAATTATTCCTTCCGCTTCATTTTCAACAAAACAAACTGCAATAAAAGTAGGAAACAAGGCCATGTATTTCTTAAGCTTGATAATAGCACTGCCAATACTGAGGTTCCAGGAGACATAAAACAGCACTGAAATGGCACTAAGACCACAAAGAACAACGCAAGTTAGATTTTTATTTTTTAATAAAGTAAAGATCATAGTAAAGACTGAAACAAAGGAAAAAATTCTGATGTAAAACGCAGTAGTGAGAGGTTAAAGATTTGCTGCTCCATAGGGAACATTCAGTCTGCCTCACGTCAAAGGTTGCAGCTTTCTGCTATTTCTTTATGTCATGCCTCCACTCTGACATAGAATCATAGCGGATTAGGAGGAAACCTAAGGTCATCTAGTCCAACCCTCTGCTCAAAGCAGGACCAATCCCAACCAAACCATCCCAGCCAGGGCTTTGTCAACCCAGGCCTTAAAAACCTCTAAGGATGGAAATTCCACTACATCCCTCGGTAACCCATTCCAGTGCTTCACCACCCTCCTAGTGAAATCGTTCTTCCTAATATCCAACCTAGACTTCCCACACTACAACTTGAGACCATTGCTCCTTGTTCTGTCATCTGCCACCCCTGAGAACAGCCTAGCTCCATCCTCTTTGGAACCCCCTCTTCAGGTAGTTGAAGTCAACTATCCTTTTTCTGTTCTGCCTTAGCTTACTAATTCAGGGGAAAAAAAGCATCTCATGTCACTCTTGAGCAAGTCCCTCTGGTTGAGCAAGGACTGAAGAGTGGTGGAGGCATACTCTGAAGCAGTGGTCACCAATCCTAGAGAATCTCCCAGTCGATAGCGATCTCCGGCTACAGCGGGCCCCATGGATGGGGGGTGTCTCCCTCCCCACACCGCTCCTGCCTGCAAGCACCACCTCTGAAGCTCCCATTGACCAGTAGCAGGGAGCTATGGCCAATGGGAGCGGCTGGGGTGGTGCTTGCAGAGAGCGACAGTGCACAGAGCAACATGCCCTCCCCTCCCCCAGGGGCCGCAGGGGCACATTGGCCCCTTCTAGGAGTGGCATGGGGTCAGGGATCCTGCCTTAGCCTCACTGCACTGCCGACTGGGAGCTGCCCAAAGTAAGTGCTGCCTGGTGGGAGGCTGTGCCCCAACTCCCAGCCCCCTCCCAAAGCCAGTACCCCACACCTCCTCCTGCACCCCAACCCTCTACCCCAGCTCTAACTCCCTCTCCAAACCTGCACCCCAACTCTCTGCCCCAGCCCAGAGCCCCTCCTGTACCCAAACTCCCTCCGAGATCCCACACCCTTTTCTGCACTCCAGCTCCCTGCCCCACCCCGGAGCCCCCTCCGACACTGCAAATCCCTCAGCCCAGAGCCCACACCCTCTCCCAACCCTATGCCCCAGCCTGGTGAAAGCGAATGAGGGGAAAGCAGCGAGGGAGAAACGGCGGGACGGAGTGAGGAGGGCAGGGCTTTGGGAAAGGGGGGGGGGGGTAGATCCCTTACATTCAAAAAGTGATTTGGGGCATAAAAAGGTTGGGGGCCGCTGCTCTGGAGGGGGCTGTATCCAGCGCTTCTTTGCTGGAGGGCCGCAGTTCAGCTAGAGAGTGAGCGTCTGAGGCAAGCTGGGGCGGGCTGAGACAGGGGACACTGGGGAGAGCAAACAGTGAGGGGACCCCCCCGCCCCCCGGTGAGCCTCATTCATTAACCGCCCCGGCACGGTCCGAGCAGGGGAGAAGCTGAGTAAGAGAGGGGGCTTGTAGCGACAGCGACCAGGCGGGAGGGCGACCCCGCTGACGGGGGGAATCCCCAGGAGAGGGGACCCAGCCTCTGGAGGAAGGGGAGAGCCTCGCTCGACCCCACGCACGGGCCCCAAACGTGGCTCCCGCCAAACAGTGAGAAAGGGGCGAGTCGCTCACCTGGTCCACTTCGTCCGCCATCTTTCAAACGCCAGCCCCGCCTCCTCTCGCGAGACTCTGTCACCCCTCAGGGAGGCGCCGGCGAGTCGGCGCGTAGGAACGGAGGGGGGTGGCGCCACGCGTTGCGTCGGGGAGGAGGCGTGGCGCGGCCTCCAAGCGAGGGCGGGGCAGTTGCGCCGTTCGTCGACCCAGGCTGGCAGAGGCGGGGCCTGGCGGGAGGGGCGGGGCAGGCGCTGTCTGGGCCCGCCCCACAGGCAGGGCGAGGGAGAGAGAAGCCAGGGGGCGCCCAGGCTTGTTCTCAATGGTTCCCCAACCCCCTCCCCCCCCGTTGTTCTGCCCTAGACGCTCTATGCGAACAGGGCCGGTCACTGGGCCTCAGTTTCCCCGCTCCCCTGACCGCCACAGGGGGATAGGTAGGGTGTAGCGCTGGGCTCCCAAAGGGCGTGGCGAAGGGAAGCAAATACTGGTAGACCCACGTTACAGATGGGCAAACTGAGGCTCCTTTGGAATTACTTTATAACGGCCTCAGTAGGCGCAGGAGCGGCCAGCGTGGGTCAGCCCGAGGCCTGTCTGCCCCGCAGTGGCCGTGCCAAGTGCTTCAGCAGCGTTGCCCTCCGGCAGGCGCACGGGGGACGCGTTAGTGCGAGGCCGCCTCGGGGCTGTTCAGCCGGGCGACCGGCACGTGTGACCGGGGTAGCTCGCTAGCCCCTGCCCGCAGTCACTCCTGGGGGGCAGGCAATGGGCACACGGCGCTCGCCCGGACTGGGGCGGAGCGGACACAATGGGAACAACCTCTGCCAAGAAGGGGCCACGAGTGAGCACCGCCCAACGGGCCCCTGCAGCGCCCCGCACAGAACAACGGCCGCCCCGCCATCCTGCCCTAGGCAGCTTTGCGCAAGTGGGATGTGACGGGCGCTGTCTCCCGCCCTTGCGGGCTGCAGCCCCGCCGGCCGGGCCGGAAGAGACGTCATGCAGAAGGGGAGGCGAGAGCAGAGGTAGGAGCCGGCTGTGCCAGCCCGGCCTTCCCAGGGCCTCCCTGCGGCTACGGGAGACTTCGGGGGCACATGCTCTTCGGAGGCGGGGAAAGCGTGGAAAGGCCTTGCCAAAGGAGGAGCGGGCTGCCTTCACCTCCGCCGTGTTTGCTTTGTGTCCCCCGCCGGTCTCTGGTTGCACCCCTTGAAAGACGCAGCTTTGAAGAGGAAACAGCATGGGAAAGAAGCGCAAAGGTTCCCTGCAGCAAGAGACTGCCAGCAAGAAATTAAAGGGAGAGCCTGCTGCAGCAGCCACCAGGGCCCCCCAAATTCCCAGGCAAGAACCAGAGGGTGAGTGTAGAAATAGACTGTCTCTTGGCCAGAGCCTGTTACAAGCTGTTGCATAAGCATCATGGAGAATATAAAATGAAGGCGAAGCAGCACCTGGCACCAGATTGCAGAGTGGGGGAGGGAGATTGCCACTTTCCCCCAACATGCTCCTTTGTTATTACTTTAAAAATGACTTTAAAATGCTCCCTCTATGCTGATGAAGGATTTTTTTATACCATATTTCTGTAGGACATTTAAAATCTCACTTGATTTTTTGGACTTTCCCCTCATTTAAATGTTACCGTTTTTGCAAGCCTTTGGCCTGCTGTCCAAAGTGCATTTCTAATTAGATTGTGAAGAACAAACCAAATTTCCCCCTTAGTGTTTATTTCTAGCTACATTCATTCTGTGACATCCGTTTTCCTGTAGGGTTTTTGTAGGAGTTAAAAAAAAAAGTAAAAGTTTATTTAGAATTGTTTTTGTCTCTATTTGTCTGTTTAGAGCTGAATAGAGCCTTTGAAATATTTTAAAGAGCAGATATACCCCCTTTAAAAACACAATCTGTTTTCATATCCGCTAAATAGTGTAGTGTTTGTGTTTAACTCCATCTGTTGTCTATTATACAGTATGTAGTCATGAGATCATGGCTGATTTAGCTTTTTTTTGTCCGCCTCATTTAAATTATACAGATGTTACCTAAGCAAGATAGTTTCCTCTCTAGAACTTAGAGAAGTGCTTACTGCTGTCGGTAGACAATCCAAGGTTTCTAAACCTTTCCTTTGTCACAATGAAAGAAGGCAGGATCAAATGATTTGGTCTGACAGGTGCAGCTAAGAAGAATGAAAGTTCTAGGGTGGATTGTTGCTGGTGGCTTTTAGTAAATGTATGTCATTTCAACAGATCTTTAGGGCATTATCCTCTGTGTAAAATATAAGCATGGAATTCAGGCCATTCTTAATTCAAATGATAGTAGAGTTTGATTGATTGTACATCTGCTTGTGGAAAAAGCTAACTGAAAGAAATTCTATAAAATCTTAAGGCCTGATCCTGTATTTCTTGTGCAACCAACACTCAGGCTCATAATTAATATTATGCTATGGTATCTTCTATTCCTTCACCACATCTTCCGTGCGCATAATTTCTCTCTGGATTTCACATAGGTGTAGAAGATGATGTGGTGAGAGTTCCAAGCAATCTGTATCATTCCTTAACTTGTGAGAGAGACCCTAAATTTTCACATGGTGTCCTGCTTTTTTGTGACTGCTCTGTCCAATATATTGGATTTGGTCCTGCAAAGTGCTCAGCACCTTTAACTCCTGTTCAGTGAGAGTTGAGGATACCTGAAGAGCCTCAGAAAATCAGGCCTTTCATAAACGCACCATTTAAGAAATAATGGTTTTGGAATCTGTGTAGGTCTTGATACAGTGTTATTGGACCCTGGTGTCTATGTAAAACCCTATTAAAGACAGGAGGCTACTTTGTGGGCTCAGGAGTGTGGTGTCACAGAGCAGTTCACAGGATTGGGACCTTTGTGGTTTTTTTTTTTTTTTAAATGGAATGTTTAAAGTACAAAAGCCTCTCTCCTCAGTAAATTTTCTCTACAAGGTTGTTTTTTAAAAATTTCATTGAATTTGAACCAATTTTACTGGTCTCGGAATAGGGTCCATTGTGGATGCCCACCAATTCATGCAGTATTGCCAACCCCAGATGTTCAGAACCATGACTCAGGCCCCCAGAATGCATGGGATTGGCTTAAAAATCATGAGACTGTAAAAACATAAGAAGGTCGTCTTGTTTGCCTTCTGGAGTGTTGTTGTTACTTATTATTTATCGTACATTTGGGTCACATTTTCAAGTTTTGCTTGACTGCCTATGTTACGCTGGGGGTCGTTCTAGCTTCCATAGCAGTCCAGTATGAAGAGGGTGCAAAGGGGTACCTTAGACCCCCCCCCCCATTTTCCCCCCGGGGTTGTGAGTTCTGCTGTGCCTTCAGCAGCAGATACTGCAAGACTTGCAATAAAATCATAAGAGTTGGCAACTCTGCTTCTGATATGTATTTACAATTGCACTGGTTTGCAATTGCTTGGTCCTATGTGAATTGACTTGAAATAAGAAAGCTTGTTTCAGTAAAATTGATAAACAGAGTCAACAGAGATCTCTCCAGTTTTCTTGCTTCTCTCAGACTTCCAGAAGCTGTAATTTTATAACAGATAATCTCTACTTTATTAGAAAATAAAAATCTAGGTCCTAATCCTAGCTAGCTCTATACATGCAGAGGATCTTAAAAGTGACCTTCAAAGCTTTCTCCAAAGTGGGATCATTACAAACTAATGAGGTGAATGTCAGACAGCCACAGGCAGAGGAATATTCAGCTAGTAAATTACTGTAAATGTAGCGTTGGAAAAAAAAATCAGCTCCTTCAAAATTACCGTACATTGGCTGGTGTTTCTCTGCTATACTGACCCAGAATGCATTGATCTGTAGGCCTGATCCTGCACACAGTTAAGCACATAAGTGACTTCATGCAAATAGCCCTTTTACTCATGCATTGACTTCAGAGGGAGTACATGCATGATTAGAGTAACTTATATATGTGAGTGTTTTCAGGAACAGTGTGTATGTCAGCTTGGACACCAGCAGTCTCCCTGGAATATGTAATAACCCATAAGGGATTAAATAACTGGCATTTTTTTCCTTACATAGAGTGGCTTTGGAAACCTCTTATAGATATAAAATAGCTATTCCTATATACTGGATACCAAATAAAATAAATTCTGTGGAGCCATGCCATATCCTGAAAAAGGAGGAAAACCTGGCACATTGCATGACGGGATTGTGCCCATCAATCCAATCTCATATGTACATAGTGCACCCATCACAGTGGGCTAGTGGTTTCACTGTGATGAGGAAAGCATCTTGCTATTGTTACAGGAGAATCTTCAGAAGTGCTTTAAATCCATCTTGCAAAATTCCACTTGTCTGGGAAAAGTAACTCTTTTGAGATAGGTGAGAACAATATTTGTTTTTCATCCACCATCATATGTAAGGGCAGGTATTGTCCATCTTGTGTATTTTGGGCTGCTAAATTTCCCTGATACTTTTGCTTCAAATGCACTTTTTGGTAAACACTTCACATTTGTTATGAAAATATTCTCATAGGCAGTGTGTTCATTTTAAGCCTGCATTTTCCCCTGCAACCTGTGAGTGATGTGCTGGCTCCATTGAAGTTGATGGGAGTTTTATTATTGACTGAGTTCTGTGGGGCTAGGATTTCGCTCTTTGACATGTATTTTTCCCCTCTGATCCATTGCAGATGATTTTGAAGAGGAAAAGCCCAGTGTGAAGAAGAAGCTCTCAAAAGTTCTTGGTGGAAATAAGAAGAAAGGAGATTGTGACACTGAAGTTCATAGCCTACCAGGTAGATCTTCAAGGCAAAAAGGAGGAAAATCAGTAGCGAAGGAGGAAAATAACATAACTGTAAAAAACAAAGGGGAAACGTGCCGGTAAGTTAATCTACAGCATCAGCATAATAGTCTGGGACAATATTGTATTCACTGTTAAATGTGTTTAGTTAGAGCCTGATCTTGCAAATACACACAGGTTCCTTTACTCACACTAGTAACCTCATAGTTCCACTATGCACTTGAGCATAATTATTCAGGTGTATGGTTGTTTGCAGGATCAGGCTGTTGGAATTCATTCTGGGTGGAAAGCTAATATTTGAGACGTTTTCGAGTTTTATGTAGCGCAAATAATTTAAATTTTATATGGAAGTTACCTAGTAATTTAGGCCAAAAATTCAGGTTTGTTTGTCTTTAAATGAGGGTAGGGAGGAGGAATGTAACCTAGGACAAGAAGAAATGGGCTTAAATTGCAACAAAGGAAGTAATAATCCTGCCTTGTGTGCAGGGGACTGGACTAGATGACCTATTGAGGTCCCTTTCAGTCCTACACTTCTATGATTCTATGACATTTGTATTTAAAAATGTCAAAGAAGCTTTTGTGTGGACTAATAGCAGGAAGTGAAACTGATCAGTCTTGTTTCACTGGCCAACCTGAACAAAATTTACTAAAATAGTAAAACAGACAGTTCTAATTCCTGTTCTTTTTATACTGATGATGCTTCAGCAAGATTAACAGTTCTTGAATTCTTTAAGGCCCTGATCCTGCAAAATATTATATGGAGACAGAACCTCTGCATCTATGTAGAGCCCTGTTGATTTGGGATCTTTTGAGGGTGCAGGTATCCATCTCCCTGGAGATCCTTACAGAATGGGGACCTAACATTACACACTGCACTGGGAAGAATATTTCCCTATATTTACTGTTCTACCTCTATTTATGGTAGGATATTTTACTTTACAAGTACAGATGCATTGTTTGCATTTGTAGTTTGCTTGTCAAATATTTTAAGGCTTTGCAGCTGTTATTTTTAATACAGATATATTGTATTTGTTTTTCTATTATTTTAATGTTGTTTTCCTCCAATTTTTAAACAAACTAGCAAACAAACTACACTAACTCTTAAAGCCTTTTTTGTTGTCTTTTGTAATCTTTATAGTGCTTTACCGAGCCCCTCTCAGAAGGAGACCATGAAGAGAAAATCAACTATTAAAAAAGAAATGGATGAAGATGATGATGGAGATGGAAGTGAGGATGAGTGGGAGGATGTGGAAGGTAACAGTCTTTTACAGTGGCCTTATCAACTATTATGCTCTAAATATTGTCATATACTGTTGTTCTCAGTGATGATTTATTTGACTCTGGTGCAACCTCTCTCTTGAATTCAGATAGTTTCTATACTCAGTATTACAGCTATAGATTTTTTTTTTAATTGAATCTCTTCTATAAATATTATAAAGGATCTAATCTAATATACAGATCAAGATTTTGAACATTCCAGTGTTCATGGGTGTTTAAAGATGGATCCAAACTAAAATCAATATACTTACCAGCGGGTGGCATTTTAGCCTCCTATTATTCATCCACAAACAGTGGATAAAGGGGCAGCCTTGCCCCTCTTCTAGAATTTCCTTTACTGCTTACTTAAATAACATAAGATTCCTAGCAGAATTTGCCCCTGAGTTTAGGATTGCTCCCTGCAGAACCTCTCTATCCTGCCCCTCATTCAGTCTGCCTCAGAAAGACACTAGGGACCCTTTTATGTATGGTAGTTGGTGTTACTAAGACCCACCTAGTTTAGCTGCCAGTATCTGTGAGCAGAACAGCTCTGCATCTTTATGCACCTGATACCTATTAACGTGTAGCAATGCTGTTACCCAACATGTGGCACTCCCTGAGCTATTTGTAAATATGAAATATCACCTTATGCCAAGAGAAGCTTACAGTGAGTCCAACAGAAGAATCAGACTGTGATTTACTGTGATCGAGATGGAGACTGGGCAAGTTAAGTCATTCAGTCAGATACCAGTTAGTTGACCATCAAACCAGGTTATGAAGACCAGAATTGTATTGTATTGTATTGTATTTTAGCTGTAAATGCATGCCTATTAAAGTGAACTCCCTACTTAAAAACACTCCTGAGTCTTGTCAGTGCTTTTGAACTGATAGAGAAGGATTTAGCCTCAATGTAGGAATAAGGCACCAGGGGAAGAGGAGCTCCAACAGACAGAGGGTGAAGTTAAGAATACCAAAGTTATGGTAGAATTTTGACATTGTTACCGTACGTAATAATATCCCTCTACCACAGAACACATGGTAGAGTCCCAGAACATGGTACTTTAAATAGGGCAGCAGTGCTGTAGAGAAGGCTGCATTCTCAGCTCTTACCTAATGTGGAGCACACAGTTCAAAAAATACTAATAAAGATTATTTTACAAATAACTGTCTAAATGTATTGTTCCTGTAAGGTGCCATCGAGACAACTCTGAAACCTAAGTATTGTGTCCCCAGAACAAACACAGCATGGCCCATAGCAATGCAAAGCTTCCCTTATGCTGCTCCACCAGTGTTCCTCAATCCACTTCTGAAGTAATGATTTGTTCTTTGGACTTTCTGCTAACGGGGGTTGATTGTGATGGTAGTATTGTGAAAGGGAGACCTGTCTGCTAGAAACTGGACAGTGTCGATACCTTGATACTAAAGCGACTGGCATTTCATGAATACCTTAGATACAGAATATCTGCTCATTTAACACAGGTTACTGAAGAGACATCAAATGGCAGAGACTTTTGGCAGTTCAACTTTGGCTATGTTTGAACAGGTGAACCAGAGAGGAGACTTTGGTCTCCTCAGGGCCATTGATTCCCTGGGTATTAATTTTAATTTTACATTTCCAGAACTCGAAGATCCTGTCCTGGATAAATCAGGAACAGCTGCTGCCCTTCCTGCGCTAGTGTTGCCCAGCAAACCAGTTGAGATAGAGATTGAAACTCCAGAGCAGGCAAAGAAAAGAGAGAGAAGGTAAGATCAGTTATACAGGGGAGGCAGCATAGGCCAGTGGATAGAGCGGGGGGGGGCCAGGAGTTGGGAGACCTCTCAGGTTCCAACTCTGGTCACTGTCTGGCTGTATGACTTTGTCAGCTGGGGTAAATGGTCATAGCGCCATTGACTTGAAGTCACTGGAGTTATGATAATTTAGACCAGCTGAGGATCTGTCCCCTGATCTTTAGATGTGCTGAGCATCCAAAACCTGAATTGAAGTCAGTGAGAACTCAGGGTGCACAGCACCTTAGAAAATCAAGCCCTTAACTTCACTATGCCTTTCTGTGTCCCCATGTATAAAATAGGGATAAGGATACTTACTTTTGTAAAGTGGTTTGAGATCTGGGGCTGTTGTAATGTAACTATACAGTACTATGACTGTATATATCTTCTTTGTCTTTTCCCATTTTTAATATAGTAGTACCCCTTCAGTAAATTCAGTTAGCAGCAGCCCTCTTAGATCCTGTCACAAGTTTGGGTAGTGAGGGTAGGAATTTACATCTGGTCTTATAGATATATGAATACTAGTTATGGGTGGAATTGTGTTACCTGTATGCTGAATTTTTCTTTCCTAATTCACATGGGTATTTGGGAGGGTTGAGTAGGTAGGTAGTTCATGAAAAGTGCTAAATAAGTACTAAGTATTTTTTATTGTTTGTTTGTACCTCCTTACACTGGCAGCTCTTTAAATCAAGGCACTAAGTCTCAATAGTAAGGTATATAGTGCTCACAGTTTTTTAATCACATCTGCACCTCATGACTATTTGCATAGAATTGACTGAATTCTCCCAAAGCATGCACAGATCTTAGCATAAAACCTGGAATTGATTCTCTGACGCATTCTCTTTTTTGATTATTCCGAGTCCTGGTCAGGAATCTGGAATGGTAGGTCCACAGGGTATTACAGCATTCATTTTTTTTATAACACTGCAGAGAGAAAAGGAAAGCTGAGTTTGAGACCTATCTCCGGAGAATGATGAAACGCTTCAACAAGGAGGTTCATGAAGATACGCATAAGGTGAGGGTTACAGAAGCAACATGGCAGAGAGGGTACAGATCATGAAGACTTCGGAACAGTTGTGGTATGTGATTTGAAAAGGCACAATGACATTTAGAGCCAATTCTAATCTGTATGATTCATGGACATGCCTAGAAACTAAAGGGAAAAAGGAAAGCAAAGTTCCAATCAAATTCACATACAGGTTTCTCTCTGATCATCATTTGGAATCCCCTGCCGCTTGGAGAATCTGCATTTCTGGAATTCAGGAACAAAATAGATGTCAGTGGTGTATATAGGATTAGTTACTGAACTGGAGTGATTCCCACTCATATTCATGGAGTTAAACTATTCATCACATTTGAGGCTGGTGATAGTGATGAGCATGAAAGGGATTTTGATCCGGATCCTCAAAGGTATGTAGGCACCTAACTCTCATTTGCATCAATGGGAATTAAGTACTTCCATACCTTTGAGGATCAGGGCCTTTATCACCTTCCTCTGGAGCACCTTCCTCTGGAGCAGGCCTTGTGTTCAAAGCACTGGAGCTCAGGAGATCTGGGTTCAATTTCTGTTTTGACACAGATTTCCTCTGTGCCTCAGTTTCCTATTGCTAGATCCAAGGATATGACTTTCCTACTTCACAAGAGCATTGCAAGAATAAACCCATTATTGTGTAGTGCACAGATACGATGAAAGCGGCCAGATAAGTACCTAGATACATTGAGTTAAATTAGGAAGGCATAAGTACATAATTTTACTATTGTTTTGTTATTGGCAGATCTCCTTCTAGCTTCTGTTCCAGTTTTTGTACTGGCTATGGGAAAAGGGTGGGAAATCCAGTACAATGAAAAGTACTTAAAATAAGGACTAGCTTTTGACTTCAAAATTGTCTTTGGAGATGAATATTGCTTCTGCTCTCAGGTGAAGCAATGACAGTTGTTTCAAATGTTCAAGACACAAAGTTGGTTTTGTATCTGTTTTGTGCCTAGTCCTAGAAAACAAATGATGTGAAGTGTTTAAATCAAAGCTCATCAGTGTTTCCAGATGGTAGATGGATGCATGACTGTCAAAAAGGGAACTTAACTGGCATTTCATTTTGCATTAATTTCAGGTATAGTTTAAAATCTGCTCCTCCTTTTTTAGCTATCTTTATTTCACGTCCCTAATAATTGTGCCATGGAGAGGGAATTGAAACAAAGATCTTAGAACTGACAATTTGAAGACAGAATTCCAACGGAGGCCACAGAAATTGTAGTCACAAAAGGCCACATTCTCCTCTGGCTTACATGGCCACAATTCCTTTGAGAATCTTGGTATCTCCTTCCTCGTATAGCTATTGGGTCAGATTCACACTGGTATGTTAACTGTAATGGAGTTGCACCTGAATTAATATGGCTTGTTGTATTAGCTGAAGAGCCTTTGTATTTGCCCTATCCCTGGCTGTTGATGGAGGAGTAAAGTCATTCATTGAAACAGCCAGTGTGTTTGGTACAATCTTAAAACCTATTTTCTATCTCCTCCAGGTTCACCTACTATGTTTGCTAGCAAATGGTTTCCATAGGAACAGGGTCTGCAACCAGCCAGATCTTCAGGCTATTGGCTTTTCCATCATTCCCACCCACTTCACTAAAGTGCCTGCAGGTCGTATAGACCTTCTCTACCTTTCCAACTTGGTGAAATGGTAAGAACCTTCCTTGTAATCTAGCTCTCTCATGTTAATTATTGAATTTTTGATGCAGCACAAGGAGAGAGATCAAGCTGAATGAGTGTAGTCATCCAGACTCAAGTGATTTATCTTGTTAAATACTAGTGTGGGGAAAATCCCACCCCCCCCCGCCCCACACACACTTTTTTTTTTTTTTTTTAAAAAGAGGGGTGAACTATGAAGAAGTTATTCAGGAAACTAGACACTAAGGTGAATTTGTCATTCTTCAAGGTTTGTTGCAACCTTCACTATCAACACTGAACTCTCTGTTGATCGAGAGAGCCTGCAGTCCACTTTAGAGAGGCGCTTCGCCATCTATGCTGCAAGAGATGATGAAGAGTTGATCCATGTGAGTGACTTGAAGTCTGGAAGCTCCCAAGGTTGCTTGCTGGGGTTGGATGCCAGATCACTGGGGTAGAATTGCTGCTGTAGAGGTTGCAGGTTAGGCTTAAGGAGTGGGGCTGGATTTGAAGAAAACTGATAGATCATCTCTGGGCCTCAGCTTTCTCTTTATTTTTTCCTGTTTTGAACGTAGCCCTGGTGCTTTGAATGACATATGTGCCTTATAACCTGAAGAAGCACCCACTGGGATCCTGCTGTGGTTAGCCCTTGATTCTAAGCTGTACCCAACTGAAGGCCTGATGATTTTGGCCCTCTGTTCTAGGCAATATCCACTTGCATTAATGTGTAATTGGTCCTGATGCTGGTGGCTTCACAATAAGTATGTGCATTGTTCAAAATCTTTACCCCTGAGTCTGCTCTGGCAGTGCAAAGCAACTACAAAGCCAGATTAACCAGCTCCCTATTCCTCTTTTGTGAAGCAATTCCTAGGGGGTCACAGCCCCTTCTTGGTTCCCGGTTTAGGGGGTTTACCTGGAAAAAAGAGTTGTGATGAAGGTGTTACTGCATTGAGGCAATCCTCAGCAGTCAGAATGACCCTTTGAGGCCAAGGGCAGCCAGATGTGATTTAGAGTAGCCTGAAGGCTTTAACTGACCACTACTTTTTAAGACATCTGGCAATAAGTCAGCCTGTGACTTTGGAACTGGAGTAGGGGCAAACTAGTCATGTCTTTCCAGTTCTTATAGGGGTTGCTGGTTAAAGAAAAATAATTCATGAGCGGAAAACCGAACATTGAGGGAAGCCTTCCCATCCTTTGGGAGAGCAGCATATGAACTGCCATTTTGCAGGCATTCTGCCCACAACTCCGTCATGCTCCTTGGAAACCTGGGAAATTGCAGCCTTGGTCTAGTTGTAGAATGTCTTTGCTGTGGCTGGAGATGTAAAAATACCTCTAGCTAGGAACTGAGGAATTACGCTTGCATATGCTGGCGGGAGAGGACCACAGACAAAGTGAACCATGCCTGAGTTTGAACACTTCTGGTTTGAATTTATCTATTTTTGCCCATTTCTGCTGAACTCCCACATAACAAAACAGTCAGCAGGTCACCACTGATACTAGGTTACAGTCACTAAACTACCATTGCAGTGTCCATATGAATGGCAGATGTTTCTATATAGTAACATCTTGTTAGCATACGTAATTTATTCAATCCATCCTTAAAAGAGGTGCCACTTTGTCTCCTTTAGCTCTGTTTACCTCAGGAATGAGGAACTGAGAGGAAAAACGGTCCAGTGTTGGGGCAGTAGACTAGGACTTGAGAGAACAGGGTGCAAGGCCCTGTTCCACCACAGACTTCCTTTGTAATATTTGGGAGTCATTTAACTTCTTTATGCCTCTGTTCCCCATCTATAATATGGGGATGTTGTGAGGATAAATACATATATTGTGAGACATTCAGACACTGTAGTAATGGGTGCAATGTAAGTACCAGAGACAATTGAAATGAATCTTTATCAGCACACATTGCACCAGGTTAAAGATCTGGATGAAACTTGACTTTTGAGTTGAACTCTGGCTCCAATGTGGTTTTAAGCTAGTTGTTCATACTTAACCACCCCCCGCCCCCCCCCCAAAAAAAACCCCCAACCCTCAAGTTTTTTCTTTTTTCTTAAACAGATATTTTTACTTATTCTACGAGCGTTACAGTTGCTCTGCCGGCTTGTGCTGTCTTTGCGACCCATTCCCCTGAAAGAGCCAGCGGGAAAGGTAGGGTTAATTGGGATTGTGAAATAAAGGAATTGACTATTTTAGGAGTCCACACTCTGGCCCAGAGGGTGATCATTAGGAGTCACATGATGTTAATGAAGAGGGAAAAAATAGGCTGAATATCAGAAAAATCTTCCTGACAATGAGCTGTATTAGGGCGGAGTTGCCAGAGTTTAACGTAAAATGTGATGTTAAACTGATTTAGCTAACAGTAAAGGCTGTGTGGACACTCTTATTTTGGTTTGAATGTCTTATTTCAGTTTAGTTTATACATGTTTCTTTTCAAATTAAGATGAATAGAAATAAACCAGGTTTAAACTTAAATAAGAGTGTCCACACAGCCTTTGCACCAATATAAATTGAATAAGTTTAAAGCCACACCTCAAGTTGAACTGGTGTGACTGAGACAAGGATTTAAGCTGTAGAATGTCTTCCACCACTTTTCTTTGGAGACCAAGTTGCTTGGGACTTTTAAAACTAGGCTGGATGAAACTAGAGTTGGACTGAATGATCCAATAGGTCTTTTCCATCTCTGACATCTGTGATGGAGACTAATTAACAAGCTCAGATCCTTTAAAGACAGCCAGCCTATGTATCTAGGCAGTGTTCTCATCTCTGGTTTGGGAACACAGAACACAGCCTCTTGAAGCCCACCAAATGGCCCTACCCAGCTGTTTGACTTTAGGTTTATGGTTCCCTAAAGCTTGCATATTAACAGGACTACTGTACTCACAAAACTTTGTTCTGCTTCCACCTAGCCCAGTTAGTGGAAGTTGGAGTTTGTTAGACAAACATTATTTACTCTAGAAAAATCAAAATTGCCTCTTTTTTGTTTTGAGGGCAAGAGCTCCTGCAAGAAGCACTCTGCCAAAAAACCTAAGGCTCCGTCAAGAAAAAGCTCCTGCAAAGGAGCCAAGCAACAGGAAACTCTGTCAGGGAGTGAAGGAGCTGACAAGGAACCAAACACCTCTGGGTCCAAAAGGAAAAGTAAGTCAAAGGTGATCAAGGATTGCCAGGAACAAAAGGAATCCAGCGATGATGAAAGCAACTTGGGGGAGGGGGAAGAGGAAGGAGCACGCAGGCCCAGAAACAAATGCCAACGAAGAGTGACCTTGAAAGTGTCTTACAAAGAGGAGAGTGGAAGTGACGAGGGCAGTGTTTCTGAGTTTGAGGCTTCGGAGGAGGAAGACAGTCATTTCTCTGATGAGGATTTTGAAACTGTCTCTAAGAGGCAGAAGAGAACATCAGAACCCCATAAAGCAAGGGTAGTAGTTGAAAATAGCAGGAAAGCCAGGTCTTCCGAACCAAAAGGGCCCAAGAATTCAGGTGGAAATGAGCAATTGCTGGCAAAAGCAGCTTCTCCAGGCTCTTCTAATACACCCAGGAAGAGGAACAAAATAATCTCTAGTGACGATGATGAGGAGCAGGAGGTGGTGAAAGTGACAGGCACAGATCAGTGGTTGGAAATCTTTGTTGAGCGGGAAGACAGGTGGGTGTGTGTGGACTGCGTTCGTGGCATCGTTGGCCAGCCCTCTCTGTGTTTTAAATATGCCACCAAACCAGTTTCCTATATTGTGGGAATTGACAGCAATGGGCATGTAAAGGACGTAACGCAAAGGTACGACCCAGCCTGGATGACTTCGACAAGGAAATGTCGTGTGGATCCTCAGTGGTGGGAAGACACGCTGGAACCATATAGAAGCCCCTTTGTGGAAAGAGAGAAGAAGGAAGAAAGGGAGGTAAATGGACACCAGACATTCGGTGTCATTTCATACTGAGAGCCAAATTCTGACATCCTGAGTCTGGCAAAGCTCCCTGGGAGATTTTCCCTTAGACGGGATGCTGGGATTTGGTGCCAGAATATTTGCTGTATTCATATGTGGGTGCTTTAAATCTGGGAACATATATGTGTATGTTACAAGAAATAAAATAAAATGGAAGCTGTTTAGAAGAGAATCTGGAGAGAACAAATCCAGAGGACAACCCCATTTGTAATTTGTTGCATAGAATAGCATTGCCCTTGTCATGAAACACTTTGAACCAAGTTAATCTGTGGTGTAATTCCATCATCACCTAAGGAGATACACCAGGGATGCCTTTGGTCATTTGGATTACCTGCTTTTGTATGGGTTTCTGATTTTTTTTTTTTTCCCCCGATCAAGTTTATAATGCAATCTGTCGTCTTTTTGTAAAATGCTGGTAAATTTTTGTAAAATGCAAAAGACCATTGAATTCGCTATTATTTGCATGGTTCACACAGTTTCTAGTTAAGCTTCAAGACCAACCTCTGCCGACAGCCATTGGAGAGTATAAAAATCACCCTCTTTATGCATTGAAGAGGCATATCCTGAAATATGAGGCCATCTACCCTGAGACTGCTGCTATCCTAGGATACTGCAGAGGAGAGGCGGTATATTCCAGGTGAGACCTACCTGCTTGTCATATTGTAAAAATTATACAGGTAGCTAAATTGATTGAATGTCAGCAAGACAGTTCTGTGTATTTTTGCAGTCCATTGAAAGAGTGTAGACAGTTGCTTTGTTCTGGCCTCTTTAGAGACTGTGTGCACACACTGCACTCCCGGGACACCTGGCTGAAGGAAGCTCGCGTGGTGAGGATTGGGGAAGTGCCCTATAAGGTAAGGGAGCTTGGAATCATGTCAGTGCAATGTGACTGCGCTCTCTGGATAAATAGTCATTGCTTTTATACCTTCTGCACAGACAAGATTTGCACAGCGGACTCTGTGACCAGGGCGGTGAGGGGAGTCAGAGAGATGGAATTCTTTCCCTCCAGGCTGCAGGGAGCTGCCCTGCTGCTGTGGATCCGTCAGCCAGCTGTGTACCAACTCTACCCAGAACTCCACTATGTGTTCTTCACACTCTCAGGGAACCATCCCTGTTTGGAGGCTTCCTGCCTAGCAGAACTGCACTCGTTTGATTCTGTTCAGAGCCTTCCAGGACCCTTCCTTGAATTGGAGGATTTGGCCCCAATTTGCTCACAACATGCCTAGGTGCATCGAGCATAAGCTATAAATTACAGATGTCAAAGCTATGGAATGAGCACCCCTTTCCTCCCAGACCCTTCTTTTTCAGTCCCCCAAATAAAATCTGAGATCCCAGATTAATGTCTGTTTGTTTGTTTCTAAAGTGTGACAAATGCAGCCATTGTGTTTGCACAGATGGTGAAAGGATATTCCAACCAGGCAAGGAAAGCACGACTGGCAGAGCCTTCGAACAGGGAGAAAGACGATTTGGGGCTGTTTGGCCTGTGGCAGACGGAGGAGTACCAGCCTCCTGTGGCAGTGGATGGAAGGGTAGGCAAGAGGGAAGAGAGGGCGGTGTGTGTGGTGAATGCAAAAATCTGGAACAAGGACATAGGCTTTATTTTCCTAGAGCATCTTTGAGTGTTAGAGGTAGATCAGCTTCTGGATCCCAAAGTTCTGGGATTTGTAGATTATATTGGTTAAGTGCCCAAATTTTAGTCCCACCTTAAGTAGGCCTCCATTTTTATGATTGGAAATAATTATGGAGTTCTGTGCCTGCAATTCAGGGCTTGCAAACATGCGGAGTTATTCTTGATTAACTTGATTAAGTTAATTCGGAATAAGGCACTCTCTTCCAGTGTAAGAGCATCCACCTATGGAGAAAATTGGAAATAGTTAATCTGCTTGAAATTCCCATCCTACCTTATTCTGGATTAATTTTCATTTTTAATTTTCAAGCCCATAGTTACAAAGCACAGATGGTAACCATAAATCAGGGTTGTCTATGTAGCTAAAATGTAGTTGCAAAGTGTGGCCAATGTCTGAATATATGGCTTGTGTCCTGAATATTAAAGAATTGTTGCCAGTGTCGCTATCAGACACTCAGAATAAGGATAACTAAGCAGACGCTTGTAATGTATCTATTTCTGAATAAGAGCAGGAATTTCCATTCATCTCCTGACTGAGCATGAGGCTTCACTTTTTATTTTCATTTTTCAATAACAGGTTCCCCGGAATGAATATGGAAACGTGTATCTCTTCCTGCCCTGCATGTTACCAATAGGCTGTGTGCAGCTAAAACTTCCCAATCTGCATAGAGTGGCACGGAAACTGGACATTGACTGTGTTCAAGCCATCACTGGATTTGATTTTCACGGTGGCTACTCACACCCAGTGTACGTGATGTGCCTGCTTTCTGTTTTGTTTGACCTGTGAGGATTTTTGTATATTGCATGGTGGGTGCTCCATGCTAAGGGTATATTCCATGCCATTTTCTCTGTCAGCTGCTGTAGAGGCAGGACACCTCAGAGCAAGCTGTGGCACATGACATCACAGAATTCAGCTCAACACGTGTCCTTTCATTTCCATTAGCAGCCTGCTCTTGCTCTGGAAGAGTAGGGAAACCACCCTTGCAAATGCATCATGTGAGATACTCTGCTTTCTCTGTCAATACTCAGTAGTCTTCGGTCTATGATGCATCGATACGTATTGGCCTGCTTCCTTTCTTCCTCTAGCACTTGGCCTGTTTTGCGGGTGCATAAACTGATAGGTGAATGTATTCTCCTTTCCAGTACTGATGGCTACATAGTCTGTGAAGAATACAAAGAGGTGCTCGTCGCAGCCTGGGAGAATGAACAGGCAGAGATAGAAAAGAAGGAAAAGGAGGTGAGAATTGTTTTCACAGGGTCCTTATTTTTATATTGAACAATAAGTCACCTTCACTTAGTTATGTAAAATAACAGTCAAACGGGGTTGCAAGCATTAAACACAGAGATGAGCCAATGTAAATGTGTAGTGGTCACAATCTTACATTTCAGTAGAACCACTTGTCCAGATGGATTCCTAAAGCACTTTACTCTGTCTGATATCCAAACTGCAGGGATGCACGTGATCCATTATAATAATGCAGCCATCTCTGAGGTGGACCACAGCAGCTGTTTAACAGCACACAGCAACGTTACACGGTTGTTCAAAACAGAAAGTGAAGAATCCATACCCTTGAGCTAAATTTTAGGCATAATATAATTATCCAAGTTGGAATTTGCCAGGGAATGAGGGTCAGCATCCCTGCTCATTCACAAATAATTATAAATGGCCATGACATCGGTGTTACATTTAATCCAAATGATGGCCCCTCCAGCAGCCCTGGATAGTGGGGCATTGATTCAGTACTGACTTTGAGAAAAGTGCCCAATTCAGTATTGACTCAGAGACGAATGCCCCATATCCTGCAGCATCTACTGATGTTCTTTTGGGGCCTCCTACATAAATACTTATATAAGACACTGCTTAGTTTGTGAGATGTGACAGCAAAAAGCCATGTTGGCTGCTGATAGTGAGTAAAATGGTATAAAGTTATATGATGGAATAAATACAATGATTCCTGTACAAACAGATACCTCTTAAAATATAATGATGTTTGGTTAATAGGCCTACTGAATGCTCAGGAGTGATGCAATACATTTAAATTAATATACAGAATTTCTCCGTTTTGTTTAAACACCAAAGACTGTTTGTATGGTTCTGAATATATCAGAATTCCTGACTTTAAGGATTTCTTTTTTTGAAATAACAATTCCACATAGAAAAGAGAGAAGAGAGCACTGGGTAACTGGAAATTGCTGACAAAAGGACTTCTCATAAGAGAGAGACTGAAGCAACGCTACTGCAGAAAGGTAAGAATCTGTGTGTATATCTGCTACTTGTAAGGACTAAGGAGTTTTCCAAGGCAGAATTTGCCTGCCAGGTAGTGCTAAGACCTGTCAGGAAAATGGTAGCAGTGGAATTTGTACTGGGTTTGGAACAAGAATTTAGCTCAATCATGTCAGTTGAAATCTCATCCTTGTTTAACCTAACACGAGCACTCTGCAACCAGGCAACATGGTTTTATATTATGGCTCTATTGTTCTGACATCATATCCACTTCATATTTTGGATTTCTTAGTCCAAACCACAAATGTAGTTTTCAGAGGCATAAAGCGACCTGTGTTGGTTTGGGTTATGAAGTGAAATGATTCTGTCCTTAAATATGTTTTTCATCATGCTCGGTGATAAGTCAGATTTTAAAGCCGGTTTATTCTTACACTCTCTTGACTAGTGAATATTCTTTCTGAACTTGAATTAATGCTGCACATACGAGACATGGACTGATACTGCTTTGTGTAGAGAATTACATAAAATGTACCGCTTGTCTGTTATAGATCACTCCTGCTAACTAGAGCAGCATCTTCCATGGTGATGAGACTATTATGACAAAAAAGGACTCTTAAAAAACACCCCCTAACCACAGTTGCCAACTTTCACATGGTAAATAAGCACCCAGGCTTTCACAATAAGGCAAAAATCAAGCTAATCCCATTTCAAAACAAGGCCAAAACAAGCTAATCCCTAAGAACCCCAACACTGTAAGTGACTAGATCCCCCCAGCGTGCAGTGTGGGACTGTGGTGGGCCTGCTGTGCCTCGCTGACTATCTCCCCCCTGCTTGCCAGGAGCCAATAAAAAAAAAAAAAAATAGCAACAAGCTAAAAGCCCAACAAGCTATAAGCCAAAAACTAGCCAACAAGCAACTCCCAAATCAATTAAGCCAAAAACAAGCCCAATTTCTGCGTTTTTTTTTTTGTGGGTTTGGCAAGTTTGCCTCTAACATTCATGCTTATTTTTTCCAGAGTGAGGCATCCGGATCCATGATTGAGAAAGGAGCTGGATTTTCTTCTGATGAAGAAGGGGAGCCAAGTTCAAAGACTCCAGCTGAAGATGTGGTGGTTTCTTGGCCTCTGAATCGGCAAGTGGAGGAACAAAGAAAAGAGAAAAAAGGCAGAAAGAGCAAGCGGGAAAAGAAGGGAGAAGTAGCACACTTGTTCCCCTTTGAGAAGTTATGACCAGAACCCAGGCCTAAACTCTTTATGTTCAATTTCCTGATGCAAGGATGAAGGTGGTTGGTTTCTTTAAAACTATCTTGTAAATAATTTCAGAGCTAGAAAATGTTTGATGTTTTCTACCAGTTGCCTGCTTGATACTGAATGAGTCAAAATTATATAAATAGAGCAAAGAGCAGATGTGGAGGTAGATAAAAATACATCACAACAGGAGCATACCAACCAGTGTGTGCTTTCAGCTCTCTTGTATATATGTATTTCTGATGCTCAAAGGTGGACTCTCTCCACAGTGTAATGTCAAGCCCTTCTCTCTGATCTAGCATTGAGAGTTCTATAAAGGTGAAACTGGATTTATTTTATCATTTCTTTTGGAGTCATGGGTAACCTTTTTATCTGTGGAGCTTTGAGGGACAGATTTGTAGATATCATATCCTTCTCACAAGAGTAACCCATTGCAGCTGTTCTTCCCCTTTGACAAGTATTGTCACCCCTGCAGTACACCTATTGCTGCATCACTTTCACAATCTCCTTCCCACAAGTCTTGTTTACCAACAAACAGAAGCATGTGTAGCTGCTATTCAGGAGTCCCTCCTGCACTCTATTACTGGCCTATTATCGCTATTGGTAGTTAACCCATATTGTTTCAAATCAGCAGTGCAATAAATTTTTATTCCCATTTGTAGTCCATCATCACAATGGTGGAAATGATTTAAAAAAAAAAATCTTTAAAAAATGCAACATGACAGTGTCCCAAATTATCTCAAGACTTTTCTCTCTCGTGCTCTCAAAAGGATTATGGAGGCAGGGAAAAGATCAAGGACTGAAAAGTAAAATAAGTCAAAACTACACTTAAGAAATTTCTGTCCTTTGCAAAACATGTAAATGTTAACGATCTGCCAGGTTTTGAGGTGCTATTGATTTTTTACATCACCGCCTTTATCATTTAACTAAAATAACTTTTCACCCTTAATGTTTATTTACTGTCTGCATATGGCATAGCTTGGACAACAAAAGCAGACCAAGAACTTTCAGTTTGGGGCAAAATTTGCAAGAGCGCCATTGCCAGAAGTAAAAGTCAGTGGGACTTAAGCACTTTTGAAACTGTTACCTATTGTCTATAGCAAGTTTCACTTTCTCTCTCTTTAGCATAGTTCTGGGTTTGTATTCTAAACACTGTAAAAGAATGTTTAAATCGATGCAAACTGTTTATGGGGTTTTTTTTTAATGAAATAGTACTTGATCTAGACTCTAATTATTTTTAGAAAACCTATAGTTGGGCCTAAACAGACCTAAATTTCTCTTTAAGAAAACTCCTGGTTATGGAGGGAATGCAGTAATGTTAAGAGCCTGCTGCTTCCTTGCCTTATGCCATGGGCTCAAACTCATAACCCCAGTAGAGAGGTTAAAAATGCAAGGAAAAAAAGCTTTAGTACTTATGTATATTTAGAAAAATATTTTTATACTGAATTTTTGGAAAAAAATAGTGTTTGCAAAGATCAATCCTATGCATGGTCCCTGCTATTTCTATGGGTCATTCTTTAGTGCATTTATCTGTATTCCCAATGAACAATTATTAAAGGAAAAAGCAGTGACCTCAGACAGCTTAGTTGTCATTTTTGTATTACAGCAGCAGTATCACCAGTCAAGTGTTCAAAACATGTAAATTTGCGTTTCTTTACATTCTGTTCTTCAAGCTTTTTAAGGTTTATGTTAAGTTTTTTTTTAAACAAAGACTAGAAATTCTTTTAATGAAAGCTGAGATTCTCAGGTAAGTACTTGACTGCAGATGAGGCTTCAAGAAAAACTCTAGGTATTGCAAGATTTGACAATACTGCAGTAATTACCAGAGGGTCCCTTTGGGGTCTGGGTCCTCTTGTGCTATATGCTGTGCAAATACATGATGACATGCTCATACACTGAAAATGGTTCAGGGTAAGGACCAGAATCCAACTCACTGAAATTTGTGAGTCTTTCCATTAATTTAAATGGATCTGAAATTAAGTAACAGCTAGGCATAAATGGAAGATGACTATGGAATCCATTTGCATGGTCAACCAATATCCTAGGAGATCTAACAGAGCTTCACATAAATTGAATTTTGGACTGTATCACTGGTGGAGGTTCCTATCCTGTACAGCCAGCATAAGAGAAATTTTATTGCTGCAGTTGTTACTATAGAAACTTTTGTATATATGCAATAAAAGCACCAATTCTGGCTAAGTTGCTTAGAAAAAAAATGCACCTCTGGTAACATGGAGTTTTGCTTCACATTATTTGTGTGTGTAAAGTAAGCTACTGTGGATGCATACTTAAAATTGTTCTGATTGTATAATTAAGTCTAAAGCTCTTAAATATTTAATCCAATGGAACTAGAACCATTATAATAGTTCCAGTTCCATTGTATAATGCCTTTCAAAGGGTTGTGGAGGTAGGAATGTTGCTGCAGTTAAATAAGGAGAACTGGAGGTCCTGGTGATGTCAAGGAATTATGACGTGATTGGAATAACAGAGACTTGGTGGGATAACCACATGACTGGAGTACTGTCATGGATGGTTATAAACTGTTCAGGAAGGACAGGCAGGGCAGAAAAGGTGGGGGAGTAGCACTGTATGTAAGGGAGCAGTATGACTGCTCAGAGCTCTGGTACGAAACTGCAGAAAAACCTGAGTGTCTCTGGATTAAGTTTAGAAGTGTGAGCAACAAGAGTGATGTAGTGGTGGGAGTCTGCTATAGACCACCGGACCAGGGGGATGAGGTGGATGAGGCTTTCTTCCGGCAGCTCGCAGAAGCTACTAGATCGCACGCCCTGGTTCTCATGGGTGACTTTAATTTTCCTGATATCTGCTGGGAGAGCAATACAACGGTGCATAGACAATCCAGGAAGTTTTTGGAAAGCGTAGGGGACAATTTCCTGGTGCAAGTGCTAGAGGAGCCAACTAGGGGGGGAGCTTTTCTTGACCTGCTGCTCACAAACCGGAAAGAATTAGTAGGGGAAGCAAAAGTGGATGGGAATCTGGGAGGCAGTGACCATGAGTTGGTTGAGTTCAGGATCCTGACACAGGGAAGAAAGGTAAGCAGCAGGATACGGACCCTGGACTTCAGGAAAGCAGACTTCGACTCCCTCAGGGAACGGATGGGTCCGATCCCCTGGGGGACTAACATGAAGGGGAAAGGAGTCCAGGAGAGCTGGCTGTATTTCAAGGAATCCCTGTTGAGGTTACAGGGACGAACCATCCCGATGTGTTGAAAGAATAGTAAATATGGCAGGCGACCAGCTTGGCTTAACGGTGAAATCCTAGTGGATCTTAAACATAAAAAAGCTTACAAGAAGTGGAAGGTTGGACATATGACCAGGGAAGAGTATAAAAATATTGCTCGGGCATGTAGGAATGAAATCAGGAGGGCCAAATCACACCTGGAGCTGCAGCTAGCAAGAGATGTCAAGAGTAACAAGAAGGGTTTCTTCAGGTATGTTGGCAACAAGAAGAAAGCAAAGGAAAGTGTGGGCCCCTTAATGAATGAGGGAGGCAACCTAGTGACAGAGGATGTGGAAAAAGCTAATGTACTCAATGCTTTTTTTGCCTCTGTCTTCACTAACAAGGTCAGCTCCCAGACTGCTGCGCTGGGCATCACAACATGGGGAATAGATGGCCAGCCCTCTGTGGAGAAAGAGGTGGTTAGGGACTATTTAGAAAAGCTGGACGTGCACAAGTCCATGGGGCCGGACGAGTTGCATCCGAGAGTGCTAAAGGAATTGGCGGCTGTGATTGCAGAGCCATTGGCCATTATCTCTGAAAACTCATGGCGAACGGGGGAAGTCCCAGATGACTGGAAAAAGGCTAATGTAGTGCCAGTTTTTAAAAAAGGGAAGGAGGAGGATCCTGGGAACTACAGGCCAGTCAGCCTCACCTCATTCCCTGGAAAAATCATGGAGCAGGTCCTCAAGGAATCAATTCTGAAGCACTTACATGAGAGGAAAGTGATCAGGAACAGTCAGCATGGATTCACCAAGGGAAGGTCATGCCTGACTAATCTAATCGCCTTCTATGATGAGATTACTGGTTCTGTGGATGAAGGGAAAACAGTGGATGTATTGTTTCTTGACTTTAGCAAAGCTTTTGACACGGTCTCCCATAGTATTCTTGTCAGCAAGTTAAAGAAGTATGGGCTGGATGAATGCACTATAAGGTGGGTAGAAAGTTGGCTAGATTGTCGGGCTCAACGGGTAGTGATCAATGGCTCCATGTCTAGTTGGCAGCTGGTGTCAGGTGGAGTGCCCCAGGGGTCAGTCCTGGGGCCAGTTTTGTTCAATATCTTCATAAATGATCTGGAGGATGGTGTGGATTGCACCCTCAGCAAATTTGCGGATGATACTAACCTGGGAGGAGTGGTAGATACGCTGGAGGGCAGGGATAGGATACAGAGGGACCTAGACAAATTGGAGGATTGGGCCAAAAGAAATCTGATGAGGTTCAATAAGGATAAGTGCAGGGTCCTGCACTTAAGACGGAAGAACCCCATGCACAGCTACAGACTAGGGACCGAATGGCTAGGCAGCAGTTCTGCGGAAAAGGACCTAGGGGTGACAGTGGACGAGAAGCTGGATATGAGTCAGCAGTGTGCCCTTGTTGCCAAGAAGGCCAATGGCATTATGGGATGTATAAGTAGGGGCATGCGAGCAGATCGAGGGATGTGATCGTCCCCCTCTATTTGACATTGGTGAGGCCTCATCTGGAGTACTGTGTCCAGTTTTGGGCCCCACACTACAAGGATGTGGATAAATTGGAGAGAGTCCAGCAAAGGGCAACAAAAATGATGAGGGGTCTGGAACACATGACTTATGAGGAGAGGCTAAGGGAACTGGGATTGTTTAGTCTGCAGAAGAGAAGAATGAGGGGGGATTTCATAGCTGCTTTCAACTACCTGAGAGGTGGTTCCAGAGAGGATGGCTCTAGACTATTCTCAGTGGTAGAAGAGGACAGGACAAGGGGTAATGGTCTCAAGTTGCAGTGGGGGAGGTTTAGGTTGGATATTAGGAAAAACTTTTTCACTAGGAGGGTGGTGAAACACTGGAATGTGTTACCCAGGGAGGTGGTAGAATCTCCTTCCTTAGAAGTTTTGGATGATTTAATGGGGGATTGGTCCTGCTTTGAGCAGGGGGTTGGACTAGATGACCTCCTGAGGTCCCTTCCAACCCTGATTTCCTATGATAAGGAAATGTCAAGGTTTAAGCAACTTGCTCACAGCAAGTCTGTGGCAAACTAGGAACCAGAACCTGTCTTCAAGTTCTAGTGCTCTTCTTAAACCACTCCACTGTGCTGCCTTTTATATATAAAGTACCTTACCATGGATACTAGTAATTCAGGTAATATGAACATGCCTCCTGAGAGTGAAATATTTGAATGTAAATCTACAACTAAACAGTTGCCTTTTTCTCAGTGTAGTTTTAGTAATGAGCTGGTTTGTCTAGGAGCCAAAAGCTGTATGTCTCCCTGTATTTAATAGTCTCCAGAAGAGTTCAGACCAGCTGTGGTTACAGCACCTTTAGCATCAAAGCCCAGTTACAAAACCCAAACACACACACCATCTGAGAATTTTTTTTTAATAAAACATACAAAAGTTCAGCACTTCCATAGAAAACTATTTCAAGAGTCTCCATTGTACAGTAGCTGAATGCTGGTTGGGGTTTAAGTTTGGAAAGTATCAGTTCAACACAGTGTTCCCCAAAAGAACACCATTTGAGGTACTGGAAGATATACTGCAATGATTAAGTAGCAGACAAACACTGCATAAGTTTATTAATTGACTATTTGTATATCCAGGCAACCTGCCCAAGAGCCTATTCCCACTTCATTGGGGGCAGATTAGGGCCCTAGAGCCTTGAAACTGAACTGACAATGGCTGGATATCAACAGGAATAAAAGGGCATTGCCTAATGATTATTGTTCATTCAAGTAGCAACTGCCCAAAGTTATATTTTACAAGCCATTCTTTTTAATAGTTTTGTGCAAACAAAATTCAAAAATTGCCCCATCACTAAAGACTTGGATTCTCATCTTGTAGTCAACTTTTAAATAGTCCTTGGGCTGTTAGATAAGTTACTAATGCTAATAACCTTGGTAACTATAGTAACTGATTTTAAAATTACATGGTCTGATTCCTTAAACATGTTGACTATGTGTTAAGTGGATTTAAGGTCTATACCTTCCACATTGCTCAGGATCTTAAACAGGAGAAACTAAACCAAAGCTGAGGAAACAAAAACCCTTTCTCAGATATATTCAAGTAAAATAAATAATGTAGCAAGGGGAAGGAACCTTTCTTGAAGTTCTTAACTGGACTTTAAGGGATAAGATTTTGAAAATCAAGGTTGAGGTCAATGAGCTACCATATTCCTCCTTTGTGTATGGAATTAGGTATTCTTCTTAAACATCAGTTGTGCTTACAAAAGTGGAAGCACAGGAAAAAGCAGGCTGAAAGACAGCCCTAAGTTGTTAGGAGCAAATACACTTTTAAAAATAATACAAAAGGGGTTCCAAAAACGTAAGTATTGGTGTTAGCAGAAAAACGTAAACATGAATCAGTGAGAGGTTAGATGTAGAGTTGCTTCTTCCCCTAACGTGACCAAGCTTAACATTTAGGTTTACAAAACATTAACCAATGTTTTAATGATTAATTTCAATTAAGGTTTTTAAGTATGAGGCCCTTGCAAACCCCAAAGGAGAGCGTTTAAATCCAAACACTACAGCTTATATAAGTACTCAGTTTGTTTCTCATGCATCTTTCCTTAGCCAAACTAAGTGAAATGAAAAAAATAAAGGGGGAAATATTAATCAGTTTTTAAGTACAGGAGTTTACATTAGTTTTACAGGTTACATCAGTTCTTAGTTTCAACCGGTTATGTTTTTTGACCTTAGACTATCCCTTTAAGCAGATGGAATTTTAAATCAGTTTTAAAGTTTTACAAAACAAGGTAGACATGCTAGCAATTTTAGGTGCCCAAATGAGACCGCTTCCAGGGTTCTGATTCAGTGAAGGCTCATCCCTTTCTGAAAATCAGGTCCGTTTAAAAGGTAAATTGAGCAGCCAAAATCCCTAGTTACTTTTGAAAACCTTATACATTATACCTGGTTTTTTAACTACTGAAAAATTAAATGCGTAACACAGCTTTCACTCATGTGCAAGCAGCATTTTGTCTATGAACATGCACTTCAAAACATTGTCAACATAAGTATATTTCTCCATGTACATAAGAAAATAAGAGGGAATAGTTAAATGAGAGGCAAACACACAAAATCTGGTAGAGATTGCACATCATGGATCGCATAATTAAATCTGTCCCTGTTCCCCTGTGGATAGCACACAGCATTGCTCTTTTAATAAGTAAAGATTGGCAAATAGCAGTTAAGTAACAAATGCTACTTCCTCCTCTAAATACACAGAATATCACCCACTCCAAACTGCAGCTTCTACAGTTACGTTTTCCCATGGATGTGTAATAAACATACAAAAAATTGCACCTTTGTCTCCTACTGGACTCTCTGGTGCAGGGAGTCAAGATTCTGAACTGTAATGTGCCTTAAGCATGTCATAATAGCTTGAAACATGATAAATGCACTACGATTCAAAGGGTTAAAAAAACAGGGTTCAAGTACAAGGGGAGAGAAAAAAAGGAATTCTTCCATCATCACTGATGCTTCTTCGGTGGAACCCGGGATTTTGCAATCACAATAGGAACGGCAGACAGCAACCCAATCAGTAGAGCCCAGAGTGGGCGGTAGAAGAGCCACCCCACAGAAATAGTTAGCAGGGAGAGCGAGGTGGCTGTACAAAAAGCAAAAGCTTTAAGTCCAATATTAACCAGATCTCGAACAACAGGAAGCCAATCCACTGTGGGTGGGAAGAAGAATTAAACAGAAAATGAAATATTTGACAGTGTGAACAGCTGTAAGATTTTATAATGCTAAAAATTTGTGGTTAGAGTCCACATCCAGCTGCCAGTGAAATCCACGAAAAGACTCCCATCCATTTCAATGAACAATGGATAAGGTCTTTCCACAGTCCTTTCAATCAGAGGATCGCAGATCACTTTACAAACACTGACAAGCAAAGCCTCAACATCTCTGGGAGGCAGTTAAGTGTCATTCCCCTTCTCTTCAGATAGGGGAAAGTCAGGGAAAGTAGTTAAATACCAGTTCCAAGATACAACAGTAATGTATGGCAGAGCTGGGAATAGAATTCAAAGCCTCCTAATGGCCAAGCCTGTCCCAAAGCTACAAGGCCATCCTTCTGCTTATGTATAAAATACATAGGACAGAGGTGTGTGAAAGTCACAAGAGGAAAGACTAGGTATAACTGGTCACATTTCACTGAGAACTGGAGATTGCATAAACTTCTCTGAAGAGTCTCAAGCATCGTGAATGTTTCTCTCAAAATATGGGATAGATGCTATTTCAGAGCAAGAGGTAGCTCTAGAATTCAATTTAAACAAGTTTAATGTAAAAAATGCTCTTTTGCCAAGTTTATTCTTGTAAAATTTGCCTTAAACTAAAATACAAATAATTCAAGGACCATTTTTTAGTTCAGTGTCAGTACAGCGCCTAGCACAGTGGTGGCCTGGGACTCAAGGCATTACTGCAATACAAATCACAACAATTCAGACTTCAGGTACATAGCAGTTCTGTATTTGGAAACAATAGCAGGTCTGATAGAGCTGCATGGGGAAAGTCTTTAAAGAACCTGCCCATCTTGTGTTATCAGTCTGTGACTGGTAAGCACAGGGTAAGCATCCTCTGGGGACTAGACTGAGAGACGAGACTATGAATTGTGACCTAATCCACATTTCAAATTACATGGGTTCAAATCTCAAAGTTCTGATCCAGATTTCATACATCCACAAAGCAGATGTTTGGATCTGGGATTTTGGTTCTGATCTTTATTGATTTAGAAGCCAATTGCAAAGTTCAGATCCAGATTCAAATTCTGCACCCGCCAAAAAATTAATTTTTGTGTTTTGGTCATTTTGTCACTAGGATCCAGCGTTTTGAGTCAGGTCCCGTCTCTAAACCGAGCTCTGTTTCTAGTAACAGACATACCCAAAGTGTGAAGGATTCTGGTCATAAGGTTGATGCCTACAAACATCGCCAGCCAGCCAGCTGCACGGAGACCCCAGGTCTTCATGGTGTTACTTTCATGCTCTTTTTGAAACACCTCCTGAAACCCAAACACTGTTATACATTGCCCATTTCTGGGGTTCCTTCAAGCCCCAAATCCTGCTGCTTCCTGAACCTTATGAATAAATACATCACAGGGGATCATGCTTGTAAATATTAATGCTTCCCAAGAGATACAGGGCCATTTGCAATACTATCTTGGCTACTAAAAGCGTAGCTTTTTTCCCCTCCCTCAACAGCAGCCCAACATGTTACAACAGTGGCCAAAGGGCAGGGCCAAGGCCATCTTTGTGGAGTCCTAACTTGGTCCACAACATTTTCTGTCACACCTTGTGATTAAAGGTGAGAACACACCTGAAAAGTGCACACGTGTTGTTGCTGATGAACTCAAATAAGGAGCATCCATTTCCCTACCAAGGAAGAATCAGATACACTAGTTTTTTATTAAATGGTTGTATACACTTCTGTAAAGATTGCTGCCTTCTCTCTCTCCTTATCCAAACACATGCACTAAAATCAGCAACCTCCACTGGGACCAGGGAAAATTGTAGAAGATTTGCATATTAATTAATTGTGTTGTTTTTATTCAGAAGAGATACATGTGTTTTGCTGACTAGAAATTTGGGCATGTTTCAAAAACAAGACACTGCCTAGCAAACAGTTTTAGTAAAGGAGATTTTCAGAACCACATGTACAACATTAATGAATTAAGTTCATACATGCTTTGAGATGCTCTGCAACTGCTTATAAAGATTTTATAGTAGGAAGACACCTCCTGGAAACTACTTGTATCCTATTTGGACCAATCTCTACATTGGTGGTGTCTCAGTTTCTGCTGAAGTAAAAATATATTAAGGGTCACATCTTACAACAAAAGTTGTTACTATTTCTTATCTCTTTCAAGACCAGCCTGAAGCAAGAGCCAGTTCACCAGCTTTTGGAAACTCAAATACTTGGCATCAAGGATCTTTGCAGCAAGGCACAAAACAATCACTAATGGAAGCCAACCTGCCAGGGGAGTAAGTGAATCATCAAACTGTTGGAACATGCAGGGTTTATTGCAACCCAGTTAATTGCCAGAGGGTTCCCACCCAACTGTACTAACAATAATTGTATTTCAAACCTTTAGGTCCCTTAAAAGGGATGGATTTTGGAAGGGGTGAGGATGGAATTACAGGCTTTAATTAAAAAACTAACTTATTTTAAAATATCACCTTTAGAAAGTATTTGGGTGATCATGAAACAAACAGATGGCAAACAATTGGGGGGGGGGGGGCGGGGGGCAAAAATGCCATTTACAACAGAGCTGTTGTAGCCGAGTTGGTCTCAGGACATGAGAGAGGCAAGGTGGGTGAGGTAATATCTTCGGTCCAACAACAGACATTATTGTACCCACAGTCGCTCTCTCATTTACAGCAGAAGGAAGCAATAGCAGAAGGAAGTTATTTTGTGTGGTAACTTTTGCCACAAATCACACTTTAATGAGCAGGAATGAAACAGCCTAACTGGCTACTGCTGATAGGGTAAGAGTACACAGCATTTGCATTCTTCTGAGGCAAAGTCAAGGTTAGGAACACAAAGCCCAGGGTGGGGGGATGAGGGAGGTGGACACAGGCTCACAACTGTCTTGTCCTCCAGCAGTGAGATTAGAGGCAGGAGAGGCAATACTCAGACCAGATTTCCTCTGTCCAGCATCAGACTGGTAACTTACCACCCGATCTTTCCCCTGCAAATGAAACGTGAAGAGGGAGGAAACTCACTGTCCCATTCCCTGCTTCTTGCTACCTCCTCCAGTTTCAATGCTAGCTGTCTCCAATAGTTTACTCATGCTGTGGGATAACTCACCTCAGCAGAGAGATCACCAGGATAAAGAATCTGCAGGACATCTCCAGACTTGGTTTGGTATGAAACCAACTGGTCCCCTCGCTGACGAGCAATCACGGACACCTTACAAGAGGCAGAGGAACCAATCAAAGAGCTTTACTCGTTACAGCACTGGGGCCTTAGGGAGCAAATCACTGGAGAACCTGAAGATTTACCACATCTGCTGGGCCCAGGTGGGACTTGTCTCCGCTCAGACCCGCATAGAAGAATGAAACACGAAGGTCTCCCACCTGGAAATATGGAAATCACAAGTTAATAAAAATTTACTTCAACAAAAAATTCCCAGTGAAGCCACTCTGCACGGGAACATCATGGGAGAATCATAGAATATCAGGGTTGGAAGGGACCTCAGGAGGTCATCTAGTCCAACCCCCTGCTCAAAGCAGGACCGATCCCCAATTAAATCATCCCAGACAGGGCTTTGTCAAGCCTGACCTTAAAAAACTTCTAAGAGAGGATGCTGTGCCATAAGGCTTTGCACCAGTATATGAGACAGCCAGGTAGGATTCCTGGCTTGTGATTTTTCCAGGCTGGGTTGGCAGAAAGTGAGGGCTGCAGAGACAGCATAACTCAAGTCCAAAAGGAGAGCAAGCTTTATGCCACTTTCCCCTGTCTGATTTAGGAGTGGCAAGGATGGGCTCCCAAAGAGAGTTACAGCTAGCTATCCTCAGCCGCAGGCAGGCAGCGCCAGCCAGCAGTGACCTGGCTCACTCATTACTGCGTTCAGTTCACTTGCACTGAGTAGACCTAACTCAGACAGACCAGTTAGACACTAATGAAACCCACCTATGTGAGAATAGCAGTAGCCCTGCTCCTGTTTCTTTCCATTTAAAAGCATCTTCTTAGCCTGTCAGTCTAACATACGGGAAGAAGACACTCAAGAAGAGAAAGAGGAGGGTAAGGGCAGGATAAGAAGCTCGTTTGATATACAGAAATTAATCACTCTTCCATTAGCTCTGCAGTCAGAGCTAAGTGGGCAAGCTGCTCAGCACTATGAATTGCATTGATTTCAATGGGAGATGAGAGTGGTGTGCAGCTTGCAGGATAAAACCCTACGTTTTCTTCAATGAATAGATTTTAGTTGCTGCCTTGATGATCTGTGCAAAGCCCTTTCATCTTACTTCTGGACGCCTGGGATTCTCGCTGTGATAAAAGTAATCTTCTCTTCGAGTGATGTCAGCATGCGGATCCTCCAGTTTCGACAGGCTCATCTGCTTAAAACTGTCAATTTTCTCAATAAGACCTAAGCAGAATAAAGAGCCAAATGTAGGTCTCAGGTGGTGCATTGACTTCAGGATCCATTGTGTTAGCCCTAGACAGCCATTTAAAAGTCTGCCATCCCAAAAGATAATGAACCAAAAGCCATCTGCAGTGCAATTCCAATGAGCTTAATGGTGTTACACCAGTGATGAACTTGACCCAGTGTGTATTTGTTATAATAAGTAAAAAACATCCCTTACCTTTTGAAAGAAAGAAACTGCCCACCTGGACATCAGGAGCAATTGCAGTGAAAGATTCCACAGCCATGGCACTTGGGGAAAAGAAATAATCTCTGTATAAATTCTAGTATTATGAGCACACTCTTGACCAACAACATAGAATACACAGAAGCACAAAATACTGATCCATGCTGACAGACAGACAAAAACCTGTGAGTGTGAGAGTGTACCAGTGAGTTAAATAACTGCCATGATGTAAAGATAAATACATTAGAAGATTGTTAGGTGCTCAGATACTACAGTAATAGGACCATTAATAGTTACTAAGGTCAGAAGGGGCAATTATGATCATCTGGTCTGATTCCTGCATAACACAGGTCAGAGAGTTATTTTTCACATCTAGCCCATAACTTCTAGTTGAGCTAGATCATCTCTTTTAGAAAGCTATTTAAGACTTCACATGATGAAGAATCCATCACATCCCTAAGTAACTTGGTCCAAGGGTTAATTACCATCATGGTTTAAAAAATGAATCTTATTTCTAAGTCTGAATTTTCCTAGCTTTAGCTTCCAGCCACTGGATCTTGCTATGCCTTTGTGTCTGCTAAATTAAAGAGCCCTCTATCAGAAATCTTTTCCTCAAGTTGGTACTTAAAAACCATGATCAAGTCATAGTAGTAGCTGAAGCCCCAGTAATTTTGGAAGCACCTACACGTGCTTAATTTTACTACCATAAGTAATTCCACTGATAACTCATGGCTGTAAAGCAAACCACATGTATAAGTGTTTGAAGGATCAAAGCCCAAGATACATACAGATAGAGCACCACCCTACAAAAGAAAGAATAAATTCAAAGGCCACATCTTTTCCCTACAAACTGTTTCTTAGAATTTGAGTCTCTCTTACACTTGTAATAGCTAATGAGGTGATAATGCACTTTGACACATTTAGAACTGACTTGAAAGATATAGGTTCTCATCAGAAAGGCATGAACTGTAAATTTTAGTGTTCAAATCGGTGGGTTTGAGTCAGGCATGTAACTCATTTACAATGGCATTCACAGCTTTTATGGTTTGCACCATTTGACTCTGGGCTGCTACGTATTTTATTGTTATTCCTGTGGCAGCCCTAGAAGCAGAATGTGATTTGATTTCAAATAATAATCTTAATGGTAGATCTGGTTGGAAAATGTCAATAAAAAACAAAGGAAAACTAACACATAACAGTCCCTCCACCCTGCCATGTTTTCTGACCAGCTCTAAGTTATTTGCATAGCTCAGGGTGCCAATTTGTTAAAAATACATTGAATATATTGGAAACAAAATTCCACTTGCATAAAAATGCTTCCGTTTATGGGACACTTGTGAAAGTCCAAATCTCCAAAGCAAAGATGCAGAGATTTTTCAAAACCCCAAATGCCATTTTTCCCACCTATCCTTATAGACATTCTTTGCCACATCGCACCACTGGAAAATGCTCAGATACTACCATGATGAAGGTGGTATCAGAACCTGTACGGAATATTATTTGTATTACCATAGTGCTGAGGAGTTTGTAAATCAGAACCTCACTGTGCTAGGCACCGTACAAACACAGGACAAAAAGAAGGTCCCTGCCCCAAGGATCTTATAAGAATAACTCAAAAGTTAATAAGTCAATAAGTCAAAATGTGGCAGCAGGGAGTAATTAGAAATAAATTATGCCTTGAGTGATTGACACAAACAAGTCTGTGATCTTGCATATGCTCTGTCAAAAGATGCAGGCACTATTGCATCTGGCATGACAATCACATGAGATGTCATTCTATTTTTGTATTTTTAATAGCTCCATGCTTCATTGATGGATTCTTTCTAGTTTTCCTACTTGGAGGCAGCACACTCCAGAGGCACAAGAATACAGCTGGAAGTCAGGAAGACCCCTGCCTATTAATTATTAGCTATAATATAAATAACTTAATCTTGGCTCCACTGTTGTACCCTTGGGCAAATCCCCTCCCCCGCCCCGTCTGTACCTCAGTTTCCCCACCTATAAAATAGCGATAATTCTCACCTACCTCACAAAGAGCTGAAAGGACTAGTCAGTTAGCATGGGTATCAAATTCAAAAATATTATCTTACAGAAGTCAGAATTACCTGGGGTTTTTATGGCCAATCTCTCGATCAAAGTTTCTGCTGTTCACAACTTCTGATTTCCATTCAGTGTCTAAGGAAAATGGGATACAAGTTGGGAAGAGAAGAGTTAAAAACACTAAAATCAAGAATGTTCTGCTTAAATGCTACAGAAGGACTGACAAGTTTTAGGCAACGTGCCTTATACTTGCAGTAACATTCTTTACACCAAGGTATATATTTAAAAAAGGTACCATATATACACCTGCATCTCATGACATATTTATAAAGGAATGGAAAGATTTAGGGAAAGGCTACCTGGTGTGAAATCCTGACTCCACTAAAGTCAATGGGAGTTCTCAGACTGACTTTAGTGGAGCCAGGATTCCACCCCTGGTTCCCACCACTGGACGATTTCTGGCTGGCTGAGAAAGGAATAACTGTTCTGCTGGAATAAGTTGCTTCAGTGTGGTGATACAGCAGACAGAGAGGGGAAGAAGCCCCAGTAGGACACAATGTTGTGCTACTGTCTTCACAGCAAAGAAACACAAAGCAGCTTCTTGAGATTTTCAGCACTGGCTCTGGCAGCTTCCTTCTTACTCCTGCAGCATCATCATCTCTTCCCCCTTCTTTCTGTAGCTCATCTGCTGAATAAGGAAAGCTCCATATTTCCATGCAGGGACAAAGACAAAGCAAGGGATCCTCATTAAAGGGTGAAGTGAGGGTGCCTGCATGGAATGCTCTCATGTGTGACCTACTGACAACTATTGGTTGGAATACACCAGTCTATATTAGTTCCCTTCTAATGTAAAGCAGCTCCTTTAGCTCACAGCCACCAGTTCTGGTCCTGATATATCTCCATAGTAAGGAGCTCTGTATTCCAACAGGCTGATAGTATTTTTTATAATCATGTACATGGCTTGTTACATACCCACATTACATGCCCACGTGCTTGAATCAGGGACAAATGAGGCTCAGAGACTCAGAGTATTTGTTTTCTGCCATCGGGTAGCTCAGAATTGGAGGGAAATAATCCTCTCTACAGCTTCTGCCAGATGGGCATTATAGTTTTTGCCAAATGCTTGTCAAAAGGCGGAGGCACTCAAGATACTGGGCGTTTCCACTGGCTGATACCAGTGCCTGAGCAGTCTCTCAATACGTTGAGCATAGAGTATGAAATACACATGCCATTCCTCCCAGTCACCCACTCGGACTATCCAAGCCTGAAGACATTTTGGGATTTGTAGGTTATTCATGAACAGCGTCCCAGTTGGTCCCCATCTCAATTACCTCATGGAACAAAGTCTCTGCCATTTGCTAAGGGAGCATGGAATGAATCTTTCCCTGTTCCTCCAAACCCCTTTCTTCTCATCCTAGCAGGGTACTATAGGACTTATTTTTAAATCAGCATGCAAACCCCATTTTGAATTCAAAGGGGGAGAAATGCTTTTGTACTGTGCACTGATGAACTTACTATATGAATATCTTGTTTCTTTCTTAACTTCACCATTCTCCTCATATTCTCTGCAGAAGAAAACACACAGCATGAAGGTCAGGACAGGGCCCACCGCACAAGTGAAACATACAGGAAGCCCATGGGAAACGAAGCACAAGCCAAACTTATCTTTAGAATGAAGTAAACGTTTCCCTAAATAATAGATTCTGAACAGCAAGGTTGGGGGGATCCTGCAGACAGGTATCATGAAGTGGCACACACCCTGCCCTTCCCCTATAGCTAACTGGAAGGGAGGCGTCCACTAAATTAGTGGCGGGGAGCCCAATATGGGAAGGACTGAACCACTGCCCTAAACCAAGGACTCTTACTGGCATTAGCATCATATGCACATTATAGGTAGTTACTCTTATGGCCAGGTGTAGAGTATAGATACCTATTCTAGAGTAGAGACAGTACCCAGCTAGCACAGGTATAAATAGCGGAGTAGACAGTGAGGCACAACTATGGCGAGTAGGGCAGAGATTCCTACACACTGTAGGGTTCAGGGATATACCCTACACAGCTCTATACCACACCCAACCAGTGCCTCCCAGGTCTAACACTGCTGCCTCCCTGCTGCCAGAGCCTTTCCCTCCTGTAGTGAAAGGCTCCGGCAGCGGGGAAAGGCTCTGGCAGAGGGGAGCTACCAGAGCCTTTCCCCGCAGCTGAAGCCCTGCACTGTGGCATGCTACACACTGCAGCGACAAGTGCGGATGTAGCCTGCCTTTCACTGCAGTGCGTAGCTACATGTGTGGTGCCTGTACTTTACACAGTGCCGTAAACGCAGACTCTCTCTAAACTGGGGACCTCTTGTTTTCTGCATCTTCAAAATTTTCTAGATGATTGTTTTCTGTGTGTTATGACAACAGTTTCCCAAACAGTGAGTCCTGATTCCACACCCAAAGCCACAGACATCCATAACGAGGTTTTTATTATAACAAATTATGTGTTGTTGTTTCATGTCAGTAAAATAATAAAATAAATAATAAATAATAATAATAATGCTTTGCTCTTCTATTGCACCTGTCAGCAAAGCAGCTAAAAGACCTTTCCTACATTCACTCTTGAAAGCTGCACAGCCCACTGGGAGGAAGGTACCACTAAGATTATTACAGACAAATTCCAATGAACTGAAAGTTTTGGATGACCCTGAGACATTCAAGAAACTGGAATTTACAGAAATTAATTTTGGTTTTTATATGACTGTTGAAATTGCAGGGGGGAGGGGAAGAAGAAGTTTGGATAATCCCAAATTCAGACACGGTTTTTCCTGTGTAGCCATTTTATAGATGGGCAAATTGAGACAGAGGGAATTAAGTGATGTGCCCAAGGCCACATACTGAGTTACTGGCTGTTGGCAGGGCTGAGAATATAACCCATGAATCTGGATTCCCAGGCCTCTGTTCTAACCAGTATATCACACTAAATATATTTTAAAACATTTTAGGTTATGTTAAGAGCATGGTATTGACTAGACACTTCCATAGAGTTTAAGGTCAGAAGGGACCCTTAGATCATCTAATCTGTTTACGTTTCACCTAGTTACCCATTCATTGCATTCCAGCCAATGATCAAGGGCTGTAGTTTACCACAGAATTCACATTTTAAATTGTGGGTTTTATTTGTTCTAAGAAAGTTCATCATTATTGAGCTTGAGGGGAGGAAAGGAAGAATCTATGTTTAACATGGAGAGGTTTCCAGATCCAGCAGAAGCCATTTAAAATGCATTTACTTTTTGGCGAAGGAGGTCAAAAATGAGCTTGTGCCTCCATTCTGGAGTTTGAGAGTTCAACAGTGGGGAGAGTTCAGCTGGGTGATACCAGAAAGCGTTCTATACTCTGCAGCTAGACTTTGCGCTTAAAAAACTTAAGACATCAGGAGCAATTGCTTCGAGATTAGGGGCTGCAAAATGATGAATGCAGGGAGAAGTCCTAGGCCGGGGTGGCCAACCTGTGGCTCCGGAGCCACATGCAGCTCTTCAGAAGTTAATATGCGGCTCCTTGTATAGGCACTGACCCCGGTGGTGGAGCTACAGGTACTGACTTTCCAATGTGCCCGGGGGTACTCACTGCTCAACCCCTGGCTCTGCCACAGGCCCTGCCCCTACTCCATCCCTTCCTACCCCCTCCCCGAGCCTGCTGTGCCCTCACTCCTCCACCCCTCCCCCCGCCTTCTGCATGCCACAAAACAGTAGATCGAGAGGGAGGGGGAGGTGCTGATCGGCGGGGCTGCCGGTGGGTGGGAGGCACTGGAAGTGGGGGCGGGGGGACTGATGAGGGGTTACTGTCGTATTACTGTGGCTCTTTGGCAATGTACATTGGTAAATTCTGGCTCTCTCTCAGGCTCAGGTTGGCCACCCCTGTCCTAGGCAATACTGAGCCACAAAGACCCATGGGAGTCAGCAGGGTTCCGCAGGGGCACATCCACATTGATCAGTCTGTACAATCCTTAGTGCCACTTTTAAAAAAAAATTGATTTTTATACTTTTTAGAAAAGTGTATTCAACTGTTTTTGTAAATTATAATAAATTATGCATGTATAGATTCTACTGACATTGCCTACAACAAATTAATATTCCAGGAGCCTATGGAATTGTATCAGAAAATAGAAGGTAAAAGCCACAGCTGTATCTTAGATTGCAAGAGGTCTGATATAGTACTATATGAGGTTAGGGGGTGGGAAAACATTTCACCTACTGCTGGAGGTTGTTGGGATTCTCTTAAGACTCTGCTCCTGCAATGGGGTCCACCCGCATAGAGCTCATTACAGGATTGGGGCCAGAATCACTAAACCAAAATTAAATGTAGGGAAAATTAAAGGAAACTGTGAAAACTCAAGGGCTCTTGGGTCATCACGTTACAACCCCCCCCCAAAAAAAAAACACACACACAAAAAACGTTAATTAGCCAGCACCTTTTCCTTAAATTGTAATTGGATTCTGGTAAGAAGTAAAAATAACGAGCCTACGACTTACTTGGAGTCTTCATATTCTACCCACTGATACATTTCCACCTGACGTTTCAGTTTGACAGCGTGGATGGAGAGCCCATAGCTGGGATCAAACAAAGGCTATTAGGATATAAATAAAATACAAGTCAGTCTAAAAAGCTGTATCTCAGATAACTCCAACTTTTTATTATTGATTCCAGCAGAGCAGATACCTGTAAATTTATCTTGGCAAAATCTCAGTTTATTGTGATGAAAAAGTAAAGGGGGTGTCATGTAAAATTTTTCTTTCAAAAACACTCTGAAATAAAAATTAAAAGAAAAAGGCCCTAGTGACATGCAGCAAGACAGACGATGGAATAAAAGTATAACAACGCATCAGGAACAGTTATTTCTCTGCATTTCTATGCTGTAGCTTCTTTCATCTGAGGATCTTGAAGAATTTTACAAACATTAACTAAGCTTCCCAAAATCACGTGATAAGATCCATTTTGTGGATGAGACACCACATTTATCACTGTCAAAAGTATGTGAAATTCCATGAAGCCACAGAGATATCTCAGTGATGGACAGGCTGTACAAATCTGCTTATATCACTGGTGAATTTGACCTGAAGAAACTGAGACAGCAAGTCATTGGCACAGCAAGGAAATAGAACCAGGAATCCTGGTTCACACTTCTAACCATTAAACCATGCATGAACCCATTTGAAGAGAAACTTTTATTCTTTTCTGCCGGCTGCTTTTCCATCACATTCTCTCTTGCAAAAAGAGCTGACAAACATTACTATCTCTGGAATAACCAGAAGATGCACAGCCTCTGCAATGTAAGATCCTCAGGACTTTGTGTCTTCAGGAATGCACAGCTGGCTCCCAAACACACAGCCCAGGAATGGGGAGGAACATTTTCAGATGGGAGGTTTACAGCCCACAGTAATATTTCATATCAAGTATGCATGGGTTTAATCTGGCGGTAAAGAGTTTTTCTTCCTTTTAGTTCATGCATTATTTTCAAACCAACTATTGTTTACCTACCTTTGATGTTCTAAGGGCACCTGACAAGTGCACTAGTTTTCCCTCGTTCTGTTGGGACACACTGTGAATATTGTCAAGAGGGACCACAAGAGAAAGCCCCTCATCAAGGGAAGTGGCTGTCTTCAAGGCTCGTCCCTGTAGTCAATTAAAAAAGAGAAAAAAAACCATGTGGAGGTATAGTCACACACTGCCACTTTGTGTTAGTTTAGTAGGAGTTGGAGCCACAGCTTCCATTAAGTGCTAATAGGTTCAGCCTCCATGCATGTAACCAAGGAACACATCTGCACTTCCCAGCTGTCGCAATCTTATGTCTGATACTTGAGAGTAGTACTTATTTGTGAAACTAACCTCACCGATGTTAGTGGAACTACTCATGTGCACAGGGATTACTCCCACGAGTAATAGTTTGTGGGATAATCAGACTAGCAATAGCAGGTGGCACCCTTAAAAAAAAAAAAAACCAACAACAACCCACTACCCATACATGTAGCTCTACTGAAGAAAACAGAACTGCTCCCGATTTACACTAGCATGAGCAATCAGCCCAGCAATCCTTATGTATGTAACACTCACAATTACTTTGATGGACATTGCAGGCACATACAAGTTGAAGGCTAGGACCCTGAAATTATTCCTCACCTTTTACCTTACCTGTTGTTTTTGAATAACTGCAATGGTGGTACCATTGTGAGTCTGTTCCACTGTCCAATTGTTCTGATTTATGATCTAGCAATTTTTTCTTCCCTTATTTTCAGATTATTGTTCCTTGTCCTACAATCTCCTAAACCTGTGAACAGTTCCCTTCCTTCATTTATACATTGATGGTTAGAAAATGTTGATGAAAATCTGAAATGAAATTTCACAAAATTCTGCTCCCACCCCAAAGTTTCCAACCAGTTCTAACTATAAATACCTTCAGGATAACAGATTATGGCCTCAATCCCACAAACTCTTATGTATGCAATTAACTTTACAACCATGAGTAGTTCTGTTGATTTCAATGGGACTTCTCATGGTACTAAAGTTGAGAACATGCATGTTTGCAGAAGACAGGGCCCAAGATTATCCTAGGAATTAATCAAAATAGATCTGCCCAGTTTGGCTAGGTGCATTAAGTTCCTTTCATGTAAGTACAATGAAGCTAGCTGAAAATTTAGCCTTGCAATATACCAAGAGAATGAGGAAGCAATGAGAGAGTAAAAACCAGGCTGGATAAAAATGATCACCCCTGCTCGCTGATGGTAAGTCATTTTCTGAGACTGGTGAAACAAGTCAGCTAGATAACCTCCAATTCCCATATTCAATAGTGATTCATTCTGTGCTCCTGCAGCACATCAAGTCCCTCCTCACTACAACTGCCCCTCAGCTGTACAGCACAAAGCAGAAGTTACATACACAGAGGAGGTGCACTAGCACATAGCAGACACATGTAAGTCCAAACAAACTCTTCCAATCACACTTGTCATGTGCTGTTGACCCACCTTTCTCCCCACTTCCCAATCAATCCACTCCTCTGCCAATGGATCTTATTTTACTCAGTCATATCCTATCTCTATTCTCCACACTCAGTTCTAGATAAAATCTCCATATACAGCTCTACCATCCCATATCATATCCCCCTGTAACACCCCCACCTTCTAGGGGGTGTTACAGGACCAAGGATCAGGCTACAATTCAGGCTCTTCCATATGCATGACACCTCTCTCAAGTGAAAATTAATAATGAATCCTGGAGACAATCTGAACTGTTCAGCAACCTAGTGTTACAAATATTTTGGCAAGAAGAGCTTTGTCTTGAATAGCATTGGAGTTTGGGCATAGAGGTGAACAAGGAATTCAAAAGTCAATATTGTTTTACTTACCTCATTGGTAAAAAGAAGGTAGAAAGAGAGAGAAAATGCCGCAAGTCCAATTAGCATCCCTCCAGCAGTGTCACTGAGTCGCTCCAGAAACCCTGGCTTGGGCTCACTTGTGATTTTCACATGTTCTTTCTTGCTGCTTGTGTCAGAGAACTGATAAAGAAAAACAAACACTAAATAACTTCTTAGCTAAGGCAGAAATTGCTTTGCCACTCACGGGGTCCCTTGTTTAAAAGGTGCATCTCCTGATTTAGAGCAAACCTGATCTCTGTCCCAGTTAAACATTTGTCTCATCTCACTTTTAGTTATTTATACCAGAAAAAACTGTAAATAAACAGAGGTTTATTGAATAAGGTAATTTACACAATAATAGCCCAGTGTATTCTTTAAAGCTGCCTGAGATACGTTTTGTTAGGTTTCTCATTTTGTGTCAATGTCACATATTTGGGCCTTGGCAGGTTCAATTATATTCCTGGCGTCCCTGCCATATAAAAGTGGAGCTGAGACTAACACATAATATTTTACATCACTATGGAATAACTGAGTGTTTTTCAAAAGTAAAGACCTCTCTCCCTCTTATGAAGCATCTAGGGCAATAAATGGAGACAGCTGATTTGATCTAAACACATATTATTCTATTGTCTTCAGATTAAAAGCAAGGTAATATTGGAGTGGAGGCACTCGGTATTTATGTTGGTGGTGAGGAACAGCTAGAAACAGTTTGATAATTGCTTTAGGTAGCTAAATAAGATTCGCAGGTTTGGGGATGTTTTTTAGAAAATACTCAGGAAGGGAGTGACCCTCCCACCACTTTCTGTTCCGATCTGAGCATTGGCTAGAACACAGTTTTTATATCCTACATGCAGACTGGCTCTTACATCCACACACATTCCCGCAGCACCATGAAGCCACCCAGCTAAAACACAACACGGGCGAGGAGACTCCGAGGTGCCACCGCGCCCCGGAGGGAGAAGCAGCCAGCGGGCAGGGGCGAGTCGGCAGCGGGGCAACCCTGGCAGCGGGGTTACGGGGCGGGAACGTGAGTTATTCCCGGACAAAGGTTCCCCACCCGGACTCACACACTTACATGCCCGGACATCTTCAGCCTCAGCCGGGCGCGGCTGAAGCCCGGGCTAACGCAGCAGAGACGGGCCACCCGCGCTGAGCTCGCCCCGCCAGGCTCCGAGGCGCAGACTCCGAGCGCAGCGAGAAACTTGCCGCCCTAGGGCACAATGTTGCCTACAGAACTTTAGCCCGGCAGCTACGCCCCAGAGCACGGCATGCTGGGAAGCGTGGTTCCAAACTGAGAGTTGGCGTAAGGCATGCTGGGAAATGTAGTTTCAAGCTGTGTCGCCGTGGGGCCTGCTGGGAAATGCAGTCCACGCGCGCGAGAAGGGTGCTTCGGGCGAATCCGAGCCGGGACAGCTCGCTGTCACAGGGCCCGATGGGAAACGCAGTCCTGTTTCTGTAAGAAGCGCGGCAAAACGCAAAGCACGCCGGGATAGGCGGAAGGGTGGCCGGCAAAGCTCCGGGTCCTGGCTGCGGCCCCGGCTTCCCTAACGGCTTCTCCGTTGAGCTGCGACCGGTTGAGCTGCGACCGGTTGAGGTCGCTCTCAGGCTCTCAATCAGGCGCGGAGCCGGGCAGCCCGGGGTCCTTCTGGGAGCGGAGTGAGAGGTCGCAGTGTGGCGCGCCGGCCGCCGCTGGTTCAGGCGCTGGCGGGGACGGACGGGTCGCTAGCTGGGTCAGTCAGTCAGTCGCCGCGGGCCGGAGCTGCGGAGAGACCACCCCGTCCCTCACCATGTCCTACTGCAGGCAAGAAGGTGCGTGGCGGGGGGAGGGCCGGCCCTCCCCTCAGTGCTGGGGGGGGGGGGAAGGGCCCGCTCTCAGGGGCGGGGCACGGCGCGGCTTGGGGGCTGCGGGCTGGGGAAAGAGAGCGCGTGAGGCGGAGGGCGGCCACGGTGACCCCGCGTGGGGTAGAGAGCACGCGGGGCCGCCTTCCTGCCCGCACGCGGGGACGAGCGGCGCCCTGCGCAGCCGTCACGGGCAGTACTCCTTCGAGGGCCATAATTCACGGGTGCAGTGCGGCTGGCTAGCCTCGGGGGTTGTAAAACCAGGAGCCCTTCCCCCGTGTTTGCGTTCGGTTTTTTGAGCCTTTAGGGTTTGCTCGTGTCCCATTTTCATGTGTTTTCCCCCTCCTCTCAATCATGACCGCTAGGAGCTTCTTTTATTAAAAAAAAAAAAAATACAGTTGAGTCTCTTCATTCCAGCAATTGCGATGTTAAGAAATACGTCGCCTATCATGAGATTTGTGATAAAATAATGAGAGTTGATCGCTCACTGGCACAAGATGTCCCTGAGGCCAGAGGTTTAGTAGGCATCAAATAAGGCTTAGGCATATGTACGCATGGTAAAAATACCCAGTTATGCTACAATGTAAAAAATAAAACCCTTGCACTTTGCAGCATAAGCCATTTTATAGCAAGCGTTAAATAAGAACCTACTCTCAGGGCTAGTCTACGTGGTGCCTCGGGGGTTGGGTGAATTCTAAAACATGCCAACGTTCTGCCCTAAGCATTTTAGGATTCACACCCCTCTAGTGCGCATTGCCACACTGTGTAGATGAGACTTAATTGTCCACTATCTGGTTACCTTGTGCCTTCCTGTGAAGGGCTGGTGCTGTCTGTGCTGGAGATGCAATACTGGGTTATATGGACCACTCATTCAATCTGGCACTGTAATTTCTATGTCTTTTAGCCAGATTGCACTGTGGTTGTGCTAGCTCTCGCTATCTGAGCTGGGTCAGTACTCAGATGGGAGAACAAGGAAAACCCCAAAGCTGCACAGGATGGTGTGTAAGACATACCGGGAGCATGCCAGTTTGGCTCCACATTGATATCCTAGTATGGCACTACTGGGTGCGGGCTCGAGGGTGGGGCTGGGGATGATGAGTTTGGGGTGCAGAAGGGGGCTCCGGGTTGGCCGGGGGTCTCAGGGTTCGGGCTCAGGCTTACCTCGGGTAGCTCCTGGTCAGGAGTGCAGCGGGGGTAGTAAGGTAGGCTTCCTGCCTGTAGTGGCACCAAGGACTGCGCCTCACCCCGGAAGCGGCCAGCAGCAGGTCCAGCTCGTTGGCTGAGGCTCGAAAGCGGCTCTGTGTGGTTCTCACCCACAGGCACCACCATCCCCAGCACCCATTGGCCGGGAACTGACCAATGGGAGTGCAGAGCTGGTGCTTGGTGTGGGGGGCAGCGCATGGAGCCCCACGCGCGCTCTCCCTGCCCCCCCACCCGGCCTAGGAGCCAGACCTGCTGCTGGCCACCCAGCTCTGAAGGCAGCATAGAAATAAGGATGGCAATACCACAACTTTCCTACAGTAGCCAGATTTCACAGTCTGTGACATGTTTTTCATGGCCAGGAATTTGGTAGGACCCTATATATCATACCTACTGCTTCACCGCTATTCACTAGGCCAGTAACCCTGTCGAGGAAGGACATTAGGTTGTTGTGGCACGATTTTTTTCTTGAAAAATCCATGCTGGCTATTCCTTATAACCCTGTTATCCTCTAGGTGCTTACACATGGATTAATAATTTGTTCCAGTATTATTCATGGCTGCAAAGTTTGCTTGACAGGGTGAAGGGTTTGCAGTCATGCACTCTACGGTGTTTGAAATAGCAATTGCCACAAAGACACTTCACACATCTAACTGGTATATTTCAGACACATCGAAATGAAGATTAGTAAATATTTCACCAAACGTTTATACATCTTGTAATTTGCATGTGTCCACTAATGGCAATCATGTTACCGAGAGCTAGGAAAGCCTTAATTTCTAATCCTACCCTCCCTGTTGACTCATTGTGGTAGCTTCAAGGAAATGTGAGATAGAAGGAGGCTATTGTATATCACCCTTTCTCTTCCCTCGCAAATGAAAGATTATTTCCCAATGAAGTTTCCAACATTTCCTTTTGGGAGACTATTCTGCAGTCTCATAGACTTCAGTTAGAAAAATTTACCCTGAGAATCATCCTAAATTTCCTCTAAACTTTCCATTACTCTAGTTTCAGAGTAAAAAGAAAAGGAGTATTTGTGGCACCTTAGAGACTAACCAATTTATTTGAGCATAAGCTTTCGTGAGCTACAGCTCACTTGTATACCCTTGGACCTTCACAGTGAGTTCTACCTTTGCAGTGTTTACACCCTTCAAATCTTATGCAGACTGTATTTTTCTATCCTTGATAGTGTTCACAGCACTTCCCAATTTAATATAATCGGCAAATTTAATGTGCTCTTTACTTTGTTCATGTAAATCACTAATAAAAATATTAAATCCATCCCTAATACAAAAGATCCCCTCAATAGTCCACTAGACACTTGCCTGGAACTCAGCACATGTGCCATTTATCAATACCCTTTGTGTCCCTTTAGCCAACTCTCTGTCCATTTGATGATATTGCTATCCAAGCCAGTTTTCAACTTTTCAAAAAGAACAGGAGTACTTGTGGCACCTTAGAGACTAATAAATTTATTTGAGCATAAGCTTTAGTTTTACTGGCTACTGTAGGGAAGCTGTGGTATTGCCATCCTTAAATTGGTTAGTCTCTAGGTTTCACAAGTACTCCTGTTCTTTTTGTGAATACAGACTAACACGGCTCCTACTCTGAAACCTGTAACTTTTCAATGTCCCTGATCTTCAGTGAAATGAGCTGTGACCTTGGGTTACAAATTAAGAGCTGCCAGTTTCTTGTTTAACTAGACTGTAAACAGGATATATATGGAGGTGCACCTGAGTTTTAGTTCTTATGGTAACTCAATTGCAAAAATCAATAAATTTTTGACAAGTCATAGTCAAGACTGCCTAAAAGTACTACCTGCTCTGTAGCAAATTACCTTACATGCATATTAGAAAGAAACTTCTCCACAAAGAGCAGTAATTCTTAAGGTCACCTTGACGGTAGCCATGCTTGCCAAGATAAGACTAATCACTTTGAATGCTTCAGGGCATAAGATAAACTCCTCCCTAAACCCTGTGGTGTCTGCCCCACATCATCTCCCAGCTCCAAACGTATAGCATTGTGGAACTCTACTCCAGTGATGTGCACCCTAATAAAATCTGGCTACAGCTGATTAGATATATTATGGGGTTTTCTAGCTTTCTCTGTTGGAGGAGGAATATTGAACTACATGAATAAATGGTGTAATGTGGTACATAGTTTCTTAGTAATTGACTGATGGTCATTGTTTTTTCTATGCTAAACTTTAACCAGTGCTAGCTAGTTAATATTTTAACTATTTAAAAAAAAAGTTATCTGGTGTTTGACATCTGGGAAAGATCAGTAGGAAGCTAGTTACTTTGCTTTTAAGTTATGTTGCATCTTCATATGTGGCGAGTGCAATAGGGGGTTTGCAGGTGTTCTTAGCAAGCCAGTGGTGCCTTATGGCTCTGACCTTTAAAGCTCACCTGAAATTAGCCACTACAATTGCCGTTTTTAGCTGCCTTAGTATATCCTAGCGGAAATCCTGCCTAGATGCCTCAAGAGAATATGGTTTGGGTCCTGTCTTTACTGTCTAATGGGACACTAAAGTTCAATGCAGAGAAACAAAATGTGGAGAAACAAAACAATTCTTTGCATCAGTCTTCATGGCTGAGGATGTGAGGGAGATTCCCAAACCTGAGCCATTCTTTTTAGGTGACAAATCCGAGGAACTGTCCCAGATTGAGGTGTCATTAAAGGAGGTTTTGGAACAAATTGATAAACTGAACAGTAATAAGTCACCAGGACCATGTGGTATTCACCCAAGAGTTCTGAAGGAACTCAAATGTGAAATTGCAGAACTACTAACTGTGGTATGTAACCTATCATTTAAATCAGCTTCTGTACCAGATGACTGGAGGATAGCTAATGTGATGCCAATTTTTAAAAAAGGCTCCAGAGGTGATCCCGGCAATTACAGGCCAATAAACCTAACTTTAGTACCAGTCAAATTTGTTGAAACTGTAGTAAAGAACAGAATTATCACACACATAGATGAACATGATTTGTTGGAGGAAGAATCAACGTGATTTTTGTAAAGGGAAATCATGCCTCACCAATCTGCTAGAATTCTTGAGGGGGTCAACAAGCATGTGGAAAAGGGTGATCCATTGGATATAGTGTACTTAGATTTTCAGAAAGCTTTTAACAACGTCCCTCACCAAAGGTTCTTAAGCAAAGTAAGCTGTCATGGGATAAGAGGGAGGGTCCTCTCATGGATCAATAACTGGTTAAAATATAGGAAACAAAAGGTAAGAATAAATGGTCAGTTTTCAGAATGGAGAGAGGTAAATAGTGGTGTCCCCCAGGGGTCTATACTGGGACCAGTATTGTTCAACATATAAATGATCTGGAAAAGAGTGGACACAGTGAGGTGGAAAAATTTGCGGATGA